GCTTACTTTAGTAAGTCCCTGAGTTTGCGCAATCATGGGCTAAGTACATATGAGAAAGAGTACTTAGCCGTGTTACTCGCAGTAGATCATTGGCGACATTATTTGGAAGGGCGGCTATTCACATCCTCACGGACCATGAAAGTTTGAAGTTTTTGCTGGGCCAAAAAGTTCACACAGCCATTCAAAAGAAAGGGTTGGTGAAATTGTTGGGATTGGACTTTCAAATTAAATACAGAAGGGGTCGGTTTAATGGTGCTGCTGATGCCTTGTCTCGGATCTTCGAGGATGATGTGGAGGCTAGAAATTGTAGTGCTCTCATGTCTGTATTGCCTGAGTGGTTGGTGGAAGTTGAAGAAACATATGATGGCGATCCTGAGGTAGCTGATCTTATAGCTGATGCGGCAGTTAATTCAGCTGGCCCTTCTCTTTGGTCTTTTTGTTCGGGCATCCTTCGCTACAGAGGTGCTATCATGGTGGGGCAAACAGGGACACTACGCGCCAAGCTGATTCAATTGTTTCATTCCTCGCCGGTGGGAGGGCATTCAGGGGCGCAGGTCACTTATCAACGGCTCAAGTCACATTTCTACAGGAAGGGGATGAAGGCAGCAGTAGTGTCATGGGTATCTCGTTGCGATGTCTGTCAACGCTGCAAGACAGAAACATTGGCTTCTCCAGGTCTTCTGCAACCCTTACCTGTTCCTACGCGTGCTTGGAAGGATGTGAGCATGGATTTTGTTGAAGGTCTGCCCATTTCCAAGGGCAAACAGGTTCTTCTAGTCGTGGTGGATCGCTTTACAAAGGTGGCTCACTTCTTCACCCTTAAACATCCTTACACAGAGGCTGAGGTAGCCCTGATTTTCTTGGATGGTGTGTTCAAACACCATGGCATGCCCTCCACCATAGTCTGTGACAGGGATGCTACCTTCACGAGCCAGTTTTGGACTGAGTTTTTCAGGTTGCAGAAGACTGACATCCACTATTCAACGGCTTATCACCCTCAGACGAACGGGCAAACGGAGCGAGTGAACCGGTGTTTGGAAGATTACCTCCGCTGCATGACTTTTCAAAGGCCACATGACTGGGCAGATTGGTTGACATTAGCATAATGGTGTTACAATACACACTACCACCTCAGTTTGCAGATGACCCCCTTTGAGGCACTCTATGGGTTTCCTCCTTCCCATTTCGGGTTAGCTCTATCTACTGACACTTCTGTGGGCGCTGTATAGGACAGGGTTAGAGTACAACATCAATTGGTGCAGTTTCTTACTGTCAACATCACAAAAGCGCAGAACAGGCAGAAGCAATTTGCGGATAAACGTAGTTCTGAACGGGTTTTGCAGATTGGAGATTGGGCTTATCTGCGACTGCGACCCTACCGCCAAGGTTCAGTTGTAGGGAGGGAGGGGAGTAAGCTGGGAGCGAAGTACTTTGGCCCTTATCAGATCGTGTCCAGGATTGGGGAAGTGGCTTACAAATTTGTTCTGCCAGCCCATTCCAAGGTACACCCTGTGTTTCATGTATAGCAGTTGAAGTTGTGCAAGACCATCGTTCATCCAACCGCTATTCACCTCCCTGCCAGTGATGATCATGGATCCCTGAAGCTTGAGTCGACTCAGATTTTGGTGAGGCGTTTCATTAATCAAGACAACAGGGCTGTGACACAAATTTTGGTTCGTTGGGTTCATCAAGCGGAAGAGGATGCTACTTGGGAGAACTTAGCCACATTCAAACGACAGTACCCCGCTTTTCCAGCTTGAGGACAAGCTGCTTCTGAAGAGAGAGGGTTTGTAACAGCTGAGAGACAGCTTGCAGGAGTGACGTGGAAAGGCGACTATTGTATAAATAGGAGAGTTGTACTCCAATTGGTTATCTTTTGGCCAATAACTGTCTGATTAGTTACTTTACCAAATTAGTAGAAAGTAATAACAGAATAATTCTCTTTCCCTCTCATCTCCTTCGTCTTCTTCATTCTAAATCCCTAAACTCGCCAGAATCCATTGATAAAGATCCTTACACCAACACACACAACACGATTTTTAACAAAAAAAGGTAGAGCTCGAGTTTATTCGAACTCCATCAGATTCATACCCCTTTTTCAAAACCCCAAAAAGACAAAACAAGAACATCATCAGAACTATACAAAAAAACTAAAGAAAACGACATGCAAGGCAAGAACTTTCACATGATTCTCGATCGCCACTATCGTCATACCGCCGACAGGGACTGTCTCAACCCTCGCCATTCCGTCGCCTTCCTTCTTTCTTTCCCTTTTCTCTCTCGTTATTTTCATAATAAGAACGAGATGAGTAAAGGGGGTTTGACTGGTAGAAGAGCGTGGAGTTTGAGAAGATCGATCGATCGATCGAGAGATGGAGAGGTAGAATGGATCAGATTTCTTCTATTTTCTTTTCATTCGTTTCTCTCGGAAAGAAATTACAGAGGAGAGAGGTGAATGAGAAGGAGGAGAGAAGAGGGTGAAATGCGGCTAGGGACTAGGGTTAGTGTTTCTCCATAAAACAATAGGAGTTGCTAAAGGTCGCCCTTAAAATTGCTAAATGTCGCCCTAAAAAACATCAAAGTTACAAATTTAACCTTTTAGCTACTTTACTCTTTCTTTAGCAAACAAACACCTCTTAGTAAAGAAAATAAAACATTATTCAAAAGAGAGAATCCATCATCGTCATTCCTGAGTTGGAATCGTCGATATGATGTCTGGATCATGACTAGCGACTCTGAATCGGTAAAGTTCACTCAAAAAATTGAAAAAAAAAACAAAAAAGGGATCCGTAGCTCACTTGCGGTTGGTCCATGGTGCAACCGCATCAACCGCAAGTGAGTTGCGGTTGCACCATGGACCAACCGTAACTTGCCTTAGGTTGAGCATTTTTTGGACATTTCGTTAGAGAATGGGCGACGACGACAGCTGGAAAGACGCCGACGAATTGGTGCGTCGAGAGGGATTCGCGAAGAAGGCATATGAGGGGTTCAGTTTGAGGGGTTAGGGATTGTTTGGTTTGTTTAAATTTTGAAATTTTATTGGGGGGTAAACAAGTCATTTATCATTAGAGTTAGGGCGACCGTTAGCAATTTTAAGGGCGACATTTAGCGATTCAGAAAAAAATCGCCTGCCATCGACCCCTTCAAAACAACCGGGCGCTTCTCCCAAACGGCCCAGGCGTTGTCGTTTCCCAACAAATCGACCCGAGGTGGTCCAAAAACTAAAATTAAGTCTCTCCCGTTATTCGAACCACTGACTTGAGTAGTAATAATAATTCGGATGAACACTATAAGCCACTAGATTGAGGACTAACAACTTGTTCATGTGTTAAATTCAATCGATCTAAAACTGATCAATTTGTATACTTAACTTAAAAAGATCCTTAATACAAAGGTCGATGGTCAATAGACCATGGTAGCATTTTCGTATTAAGTCTAAAATTTGATTTTCAAAGGTCCTAAAATTCGTTTCAACATTTATAAAAACCTTAACACATACCAATAGGACGTGTTGGATTCCAACTAACAAACTTTCTCCATTAAATCAAAAAATACGAATTACATTTCTTAAATAAAAAAATCAATTATTATCTTAATCACGTATCAATAGAAACGTGTTAAGATTCCCTTTCCAAAACCAATCAACGTGAACGAACTACGTGGACTTTGATCTTGACTACTCGGGTACGTTGGCAGCCAATAGGTTCGAGTCCAACTAACCAAAAAATCTTTCTTTAATTTTGAGAATTACGTCAATAAACCTATGATCAAATATTAATAACTATATAATTAATCAAATCATAAAATCAATTACATTAATATAGCCACAAATAATAATACACCCAACCCTTAAAAACTTATCGATTTAAGTAGTACCCATTTGGGGCGTTGTGGGGTGTGAATACACTTCCTCACACGTAACCGTACTCCCGAACCCAAAATCTCAAAATTTCGCAGATCAAATCCCGGTTTTGACACTAAGGTTGAGACCGGGCAAAAAGGTGCTCGATCCACCATAATATAAGGTCGGTGGCGACTCCGATAATATCGCGACAGGTCCACCAGTTCCGGAGGGGCGGTTGCGCTAGATATAAATATGTTTTCTGCAATTTTGAGAGGGAAAGCTAGGTTTTGGATCCCAAACACTCAAGGGACGAACGTTAGAGAGAGATGGCAATCTACAGCCATTTTTGGAGCGTTGTTGGAGGATTCTTCATCATTGAAGCTCAAGGAACAAGTATAGACATGAAGATTGAAGATCTGAAAAGTTATACTGCAATCTCTCTCTACTCTATGGAGTAACTTCCCTTCACTTAGGTTTTGAGAATCCCTAGTTCCATGTGTTAGGATCTTTCTTGTTTGAAACTTTGGATGTTATACTGGATGGTTTTAATCAATCGAGGCATTATTGTTGAGTCGATTGAATCCTGATCACTTTTCTTTGATTTCTGCTTTAACCTATGATAGATAGAATCTGATTGGATTAAGAGAGCTTTCTCAATTGGTAATAGGGAATTGATTGTACAAGAGTCAGTCAATTCACTACTTTGTACTGGAATTCATTCCAGTAGCGGAAATCTTTGTGTATTTCCTTAGCTTTGTACTCCGGTGGAGGTTAGTTGTCTGCCAGGTATTCTGTCTAAGAGGGCTTGGTAAGCTTAAGAGATTCCAACCTATTATCGGATCTTCTACAGTTTAATCAATAGTAAAGCAACTAAAGGGAATTACAACTTGAACCTAACTGAGGAGCTAGGGGGAATGATACCTAAGTGAGTTCTCAACCCGTAATTAGTAGTTTAACCTTAGTTTAGCTAGTAGAGTAGTTTAGTAAATCAATCTTTAATATGGTTTGCTAGATAATGAACCAAAACTGAGTAATAGTAATTATAGAGACCCGTGGATCCAATATTTATTACTTGTACCACTATAATGCAATCCCTTTCATTGGCTACATTTGGTCACTGTTAGGATTTGTGTTTTAGCGATTCAACGATATGGGATCGAAATTAAACCATTTATAAAACCCAGCTTATGCTTCGTCTTAAGAACAATCCTTACCACTTTAGACCACATATTATAATTTGGACCATCCAAAACTATAGTAAAGATTTTTGTTTGGGTTGATATAGAAAGGGTTACCAAATACTGGACCTTTCAGACCTCAAGCGTTGCCATTGTCGGTGTTGATGACATTGTTGAATTTGGTGCAAGATTGGAAATTTTTGTTGTCTCCATAGCTTCCAAATTGCAGAATCGCACTTGCATTTCCTCCACGAGGAAGGGTATTGGGATTGGCCATAGTTGCTTAGAGGTTTTGCGGCTCTGATACCATTTATATTTTAGGTTTCAAGAGTAAGGAAGAAGATGGAAATGGAGGAAAGATCAAGTGAATCCTCATCTTGATAGATAGGACTAGGGGTGGCAGTTCGGTTTCCGGTTAGCGGCTAACTGGCCGGTTCAATCGATAACCGCCGGTTAGTAGCTAACCGAAAACCGACGGTTATTTGCCTCGGTCGGTGTTCGGTAGAATAAAGCTGGTTTTCGGCTAGCCGAGTAACCGAGGATGATTAACCGCGGTTACCCGACTAACCGAACATAACCGACCAACCATCCTTTTAATAAAACTCCAACTAGTGTTATTAAAGTCGAGCCGAGCCGCTCGGCCCGACCGGTAAAACCGCCACCCGATCACAAAATCGGCTCGGAACAGTCTAAAAGCCGCTCCGGTTTTATGTAGCGGTTGGCGAGCGGCCGAGGCGGTTAGCCGTTCGAGCCGATCAAGCCGCTCGTCCGGGTTTTGTCATTCAGCCACTGAATTTAATTAAAAAAATTGTAGAAAATTGAAAATTGAAATAAACCAAAAAAGTCGGGATCTCAAATTGAATCCTTATTTCCATTTCACAATTTCGAAGGAAAGAGATGAGCTCTGATTAAGAAATGTCCACTATTTATACTGATAATGTTTATTAGGTACCGGTTCTCTAACGGTTTTTAAACGGTCTAATGCCGGTTGGACCACTAAAGTGCGAGCCGTTCGCATTACCGGGTCATGCTCCGGTTCGGTTCTAACAACATTGACCCCAACCCTAATTCTTTCTTCTTCGTACTCAAATCCCAGCCCTCCGTCATCCAAATCCCAGCCACCCTCCTCGATGACTTTGTCTCCCCTCCCCACCCTCCTCGACGACCGGGCACCGCGAGCCAGAGTCAGAGATAGCATCGTTTCTCCTCGCCGATTCCTCTCCGACATCGCCATCTCCCATCCTCGACGACCCCAGGCATCCGTGCGTCTCCCATCGCCATCCCTTCCCTCTACATTTTCGCCTCTCCCTGCGTCGGGGATGTCTCCTTTCGCTCTCCTCCGTGGCCGCTGGTGTGCCTCTACTTCTCCTCCGCGACCGGCCGCCATGGTGTCTAAATCTGCAATGAAGGAAGGAAGAAAAAGGTTGGTCTCTGCCCTCTGGTGGTTCTTTTTGGAGGAAGGCAGGAGAGAGAAGGAGAGAGAAGGAGGAAGAAGATAAGAATTTAGTGGTAGGGAGAGGAGAGAAGAAGAAGAGGCGGGTGGGGTGGGTATTGGGAGAGGAGTGAAGAAGCAGAGAAGTAACGTGGGTGGGGCCAGGGGTGGGTATTGGGTTTTTTTCTTCCTTTCCTTTTTTTTTTAAATAAATTTGGTTGTTGCGGTATAACCGAACCAAAACCGAAAACCCGTCGGTCAGTGGTCGGCTAACCGCGACTTCTCTCACGGTCGGTGGTCGGCAGACATGGAGGAAGGTTCGGTTTAACCAAAAACCGAAGTTTTCGGTTAAACTGAAACCGACCGACTGCTACCCCAGATTGGACAGCTCTGTCTATTTATACTACTTGGGATGGGATTAGGTGCTAACCCTTATAGGGGTTAGCACCGTGATAACTAGCAAAAAACGCTACTAAAAATAACGAAATCACTACGGATTATTATAAAATCAATACAACATCTAAGCTAAATCACTACTAATTTAAACTAGTAGTAGTTTTTCCCTTGGTTAGGACGGTGCTAACTATTGTACAATTAGCACCGTAGCCGTTCCCATACTACTTCCAGAATTAATGTTCCACAACGGTAAACAAGACAGGTGTCCAAATACAAATGGTTTGTAAATAACTAAAAGCAATAACAATATCCGTGAACGTGTACATATTATGAAAACAAAAGCTTACTTGGGAGTTGAAAGGTTTTCGCACAGTTCACTAAGTTGCTAAGGCTAGAGGTCTCATGAAGACCAAAAGGTCCGAACCTAAGAATAACAGTGAAAATTGGGGAAAAATGAACAGCCCCACCCAAAGCTAGGGGTGTTCAAATGGTTACCGTGGTCATAACCAAACCAATTAAGCTTAAATTTTATTAACCATGGAATAAAATTTCTTAACCAAACCGTCCAAATTAACACGAAAACCAAATTAACCAAACCAAAGTTTAATTGGTTTGGTTAATCGGATAATCGGATTAACCAAATAACATAACATTACATGAAAACAATTTTCCTGTTAATGAATAAAATATAACCATATGTTATTACTATCCTAAAGTATCATTATATATAAGCAATAATAATAAGACTAACCATCCAAGATTACCATCATCATTCAAGTTAATTCATCATCTCTGCACCTAATATAGTTAGCTTACAACAAACCCATAACATAAATATTAAATACATATCAATACCACTCATTAGTAAGTTAAAGCTCTCCTACAAAATACTTAAACTATACATAGTTTGAGGTGGTTGTCATGGTATTGTACGTAATCCTAAAGTCTAGTAGCTGTCCAAAATGTTTGGTTTAGAAAATAGACAGACCCATTTAATTTTTGACCCATAATGTTTTGGTTTGTTGTGAACATGGAAATAAAATAGGTAATCACGAAAGTTTGGTTTGGTTGGTTGCATGGAAGTTTAAATAATTTTATATATTACGTGTATCATTAATTGGTTAATTGGTTTTATTGGTTAGCAGTGTTGAAACCAAACCACCTAAACCAAATAAGCTAAATTATTTAACCAAAACAAACCAATTATCCAAATTAACCAAACCAAATTAACCGAATGCTACCGATTAATATGGTTACCACGGTAACCAATCCGTTTGAACACCCTTGCCCAAAGCTCTCCCAAAGAAACTAAAACAAAATCCCTAATGCGTCACGTCAGCTAAAGAAATCTCTGTTTTTTCTTCTGCCTTCAGAAACAGGGCTTCGGTTTCTGATGATTCTTTCCTATGTCAGACCAAATTTCTGATTATGAGAGAGAGCTCAACGCGTACCTTGAAAATTCAATTTTTAACAGTTAAAAGGGCCTATTCATAGAGCAGTCGAGCGAACCGGCACTTCGGGTCAAACGACTCACAAATGAGCCCTGCTTAGCCGTGATCACAGTGTTTTGGTCCAACCTAGTGATGGGTCCAACAGATTGGACGAAAATCGCCCCGTTCAACAATAAATCCTCCTCTGATCTCCAGTTCCACGACTTCCAAACACTCTCGTCAGCGTACTCCCTCTTGGTCACCTCTTTGGAAGCCGGATTGGGCGGGGCAATGAACCGATTCCCCTGGCTCAGAATGGTCGGGTTGGAACTCCCACCCACGGCGTACATTTCCCAGTGGGTGTAATCATTGTTGACCACATGGGCGAACCCAAACCGCAGGCGTGGCATCCGCTGAACCAAGCCGCGCGACCAAAATGGTTGAATGCCAGGGTGACCTGCATGATCTTGTCCTGTGTCTCCTCGTCGCTGGCCCCGAACAACATGACGTCGTTGTGGCGGGTGAAGTGGCAGTTGGAGATAGTGACGGCGGTTGTCCTTCCTTATTTCTCATCAAGAAATAAAATTAACGTAACTTTTATTGACGTAAAAAATTATGTTTGAAATTGTTTTTGGTTGCTCTTAAGGAGATTGGTAGTTAGATCAAGATAGAAAAAGAATGTTGAAGCTGCATGCAGGGCCCTAACCTCTTCGAAAATGTGCTCTGGCGTGGAAGGGAAGAAGATTAAATTCAATTTTGGAGGAAGATAAGAGGGTACGTAAGAAAATAGATGGAAAATAAAGACAAGTAGAGATGAAAGATCGGATGCGAAATTAAGGGTGAGGCTTCAAGTGAATGCAGATAATTAATTTGATATTCTAGTGTATTTTTCATGCTTCCTTGAATTTGCATGTTTACTGTATTCTTTATTAAGTCTTTTACTTTCCTAATATTGTTATTGACCGTAGTACCGTTAGTCGGATCGAAACACATCTACATACAAGATTTAAGAGAGTTGTACAAATATGAAAAAAAATGTTGTCACATGGTTTTATGTGCTCAACTGGCGAATAGAGTAGATAGTAGAAGGGATTGATGATTACTTAGGTTGGAAGTTTGGTATCGTTATTTGAGATATTATCGGTCGAATTTATTACTCATTAGTTGGTATCACCGAATATCGAATTTTGGGATGTTATTCAGCATTTCAGATTATGAGATTAAGATTGGAATATACCAAAATTGTCAACTAATTTCATAAAATCCACAACTTCTGGTATTTGCTCACACTTTGAAAGCGGGCAAGCCCCCGTCCATTCGAGCAAGCTTAGCTTCCAAGTCTTGGATAACCCTTGTCTCTCACTCATCTCTTGTTGTTTTCGGGATCGAAAAACGAGCACTCTTATTAGTCTTTTCTCACCCTCCACTCCATCAAATCAAAGATTATCATGAACAAGAAGTTGACCAAAGGTAAGATAGCTAATGGTAAGCTTCCGCGACAATGAAAAATTGGGAGTTGCAGATGCCAGGTTCGATCAAAGAGAGGCTCGTAGGTGTTCCCGAATGTATGAAGCTGCTGGTGGCGAAACTCTATTGGCGTCGAATTGATTGCAGATGGCCCCCAGGTTTAGTAGGCCCCGCTGTCACAAAGTGACACATGAGGCTGAGGTTCCTAGTTAATAAAAAAAATCATGAGGAAGAAATTGAGATATCACCATTTTTTCCTTCTTTTTGTCCTTTTCCTTAGGTTTAAGTAAACTTAAGACTCTCTTTGCTCGTGATTAGAAGCCAATCCCCTCAAAAAGGAAAAAGAAGTCTTAGAAAAGGATTAATAAAGATTGTATTAATTACTTGACGGCGAGGTTAGGATTGTCGACGCTCTTGTTCTCGATTGCGGCCATGAGGGGATTCTTTGTGCCATCGTGATGATCTTCCTCGACCAATGACTATTATATACCGTTATAGATTATGTGATTGCGATTGGTATATATCAAAATTGAAAATTAATTAAATATAATCCAAAACTTTTATCGCTCACACTTTGACAACTGGCAAGCCCCCATCCAATCCAACAGGCTTAGCTTCCAAGTTTTTCAGGTAACCCTTGTCTCTCACTCATTTTTTGTTATTTTTAAGACACAAAAAAGCGGCACTCTTTATTAGTCTTTCCTCACCCTCCACTCTATAAAATCAAAGATTGTCATGAGTAATAAATTTACATATCACCATTTTCCCTTCATTTTTCTTTGCCTTATGTTAAGCAAACTCAATACATGAGCAAGAAATTGAGATATCATCATTTTCCTTCTTTTTCTCATTGCCTTAAGTTAAGAAAACTAAAAAATATTTACTTAGTCTTGTAGCACCTAATGAGCACCTATAATAAATCCATTCGATTGAGATTTGATAGAATGCATTGATTAGTTTTTATTAGACTTTTTCCACCTAAACTTCCCATCGCCAAGGTTTTCAATCATGAAATTAAACCTACAAGCCTATGTCTTATAAAACTGTACAAGTTTAGAGGTGTTCGAATCATTATTTACTATGTAAATATTTAATTATTAATTAAGTGCGGAAGTAATTATTTGGTATTTAGGAATACAATACCGATACCGTACCAAAATATTTTGACTTTGGGATTAAATACCAAATTTATTTTGGGATCGGGGTTGAGATTTATTTTAGGGCATTATTTGTATTCGAGATTTATTTTAGGGCATTATTTTAGGGAATTATTTTTATTCGAGATTTTATTATTTGGTATTGGGATATCGATACTGTACTAATTTCAACCCTATCGACAACAACAGTTTTAAGGATCAACAGCGGCGAAGCCCAAATGAAGAGTAGCGAAGATATTATTTGTATTCGAGATTTTGGTATTTGGTACATGAATACCGATAACGTACTAATTTAACCTACTGACAACAGAAGTTTCTAGGATCCACGCAGACAAAGCCCAAAGGGAAGGGAGAGTAGCAGAGGCATTTACCTTACCTTTACGTAAGCCAAACATTATAATGGTAGGGACTTTGGGTAAGTGCTCGACACTCTCGAGTAGAGACTCTCCCTAATGGGAAGAACAATCCCAATTATCTACGAAACTACTAAGTTGAATAACAAATATGCAAAGATAACCTGTTTTCTATTGATCAACAATAATACATTTTTTTTTCTGTGAGAAACGGAGCGCTTAGAAGCAGTGGCGGACCTAAGGCTAGTAAGGGTGTATCGTCCGACACACTCTCGCTCGAGAATTTTGCGAAGAATCTATATATTTTTTGTACAAAATTTTTTACTTCGGAATAGCCTGCATACCTTCAATAATTATAGCCGACACACCTTCATTATAGTCGAAGAATTTATTATCCAAATGAATCAATCTTCATCATAATCCATTTTAATTTTGTTTAAAATAACTCATAAATCATAATCCTATCACTTCCTATTAAAAAAAAGACTCTCAGCCCATACAATATATATGTGTGATGTGTGTTGGGTCTGGGCCTATAATTAAAAGAGAAAAAAAAAACCACAGGCCAAATGGCCAATAGCCCAGGCGGACACTATTTATCCTTTAGTTTACTTGCTTTTGAAGTTGGTGTTGACTTTACCTGTTGCAGCTACAAGCTGCGAAAGAGCATTTTCAGCCATGAAGATAATCAAGAACGATCTTCGAAATCGGTTGAGTGACCAATTTATGAATGATTGTTTAGGTGTGTATATTGAAAAAGATTTGCTTTGTAGCATAAGTGATGAATGTATTTTAGAGACATTTCAATAGATGAAAAGTCGTCGCGGTTCGTTATAAATATGACATTGTGAACTTTATGAATTAATTTCTTTTAATTTCTACTTAATTTTTTTGTTTAATTTCATTTAATTTAATTATTATTGGATTTTATCGGCGACACACCTCTCCGACAATCCTGGGTCCGCCACTGATTAGAAGGCGCTCCAACCTTTATTCATGAACTAAAATGAAAAGTGAATGATACAAGATTCATAATTGAATAATCTACCAACAACTCGGGTTATTGGAATCAAATGGTTTTTAACAATTTTATGAGACGAGTCAAACTGACAACCATTGATACTTTCCTGACAATCATCTTATCCGATTGCAAGCCTTTGGTTGAGGCCTCAGAGAATGAGAAGTGACCCAACTCCTAATTATATGAAGTGGTGCTGCTATGCCCACTTCTCAAGCATGACCAGCATTTTGGGAAAATACAGCAGGATTATGGATTGGGTTGTTCACAATGTGTACAACTTAGCTATCTCTCACACGATCGGATTACAATGTTATTTTTAGTTATTTTTCACCTGATCGTTTGGAAGGAAATGAAGTAAATTTTGTCATTGAAAAAATATTCTCTATCCTAACAGATCGAGGTGCCTTTGGACTCAAGCAAAATCAAGGTATCGCGTGCCTTTTTTCTCTCATTTAATTTGTTCCCCGACACGCCTCCAATTAGCACAATCACAAAGAAAGAGATATCTGCAACATCTCTATTTAATGATGTATGTTAATCTCTTGGGCCGGATATGACACATACAATGGCAACCGTTGATGACCTTGCAGCGGGGGGAATAAGAGGGGTGATGCCGCAGCGAGCTCGTTCGCGTGATCATTTGGTAGAGGAGTTCGTCCCTTCCTCGGCTTGGGACGACGACAATCACTCACACTATCTCCTTATAGATCTTCCTGGTACGTAAACAATGATGTTTTTGTTTTCCTTGAACTTTTACTGATTAGGTTATTTCGATATATGAATATTGTTTTCAGATATATCATGTGTGAATTCGTAAGACTTCTTATTTCATGGTAATTCCAACTATATATAGTTGGCATTAATTACAAGAGTCACATCTCATATCAATGCGTCATACACTATATATTAAGAATTTGTAACTCGTAAAAAAGTTCGAAAAATAAATAAAAGGAAGAACCAATTATGCCCATGTGCGAGAACAAGTTAAGGAGAAAAAAAAAATTCATGAATCGCAAATGTTTAATATGTCATCATTTACGTATGGCATATGACATGATACATTTAACCCTGGTTAAAGACATGTCACAAATAAAATGTCCATATGCTACGATGACTAAAAATAAGGATTTGTGTATCGGTTTTAAAAAAAAATAACGTTCAAGTAATGGACTCACCAAATTATGAAAGTTGTGGCAATTTGAATCCGCCTCGCGGGCATTATCCGACCTGACCCGCGATGGGGCAGGTATTACCCGACCCATACTAGCATGGGGAGGGGTATGTGTATCTACTTTAGACCGCCCTGTCCTGCTCCGCCCGTTATTGGTCCATTCTAACTCAATTTCTTACAATATCTACACATGTTTCTCCTATTTTGACTTTTCTCCAACTAGTTAGAGTCAATATTTCAACTGGTTTGACTCAATTCCTCATTCTATTGTAACTATTTTTCATTCATAAAGTGTTTTTCCCTTCGTTTTATCATAAAAAGTAAAATCTGCGTGTGTTTTTTAGAAATAACATGTGAGAGTTGGTCGACCCACCCCGCTCCGTACCTGCACGAATTTTACCCGCCCGTCCCCTAGTAGCGTGGGACGGGGCATGGGTATTGAGTTACCCGCCCCGTCCCGCCCCGCCCGGTTGGCATCACTAGTTCTAATTGACAAATTTAGTTTCTCGTACCTATTTTTTATAACACAACAAAAGGGGCATTGATTAAACCTAGTTACCGTAAAATAATCATCAGTAATAATGTCTTTATAGCTCACCGCTAGAGCATTTGATTCCAAAGAGGTTAGCCGTTCAAACCTGGTTGTGACATTTTATATTTTGTCCTGGCCGTAGGGTTTAGAAAGGAGGAGGTGAGCCTTCAAGTGGACAGCGGAGGGAAGCAGATAACGGTGGCTGGAGAGCGGCTATTGAACCACAACAAGTACGTCTACTTCCACCAAACCTATCAACTGCCCGATGGGATCTCCGACACCGATAGGATCACCGGCAAGTTCGACGGCGAGATCCTCTACGTCACTGTCCCCAAGCACGTACCAGCAGCACAAGGCCGTGCTGCTGAGGCGGCTGCACCAGGATCTCCATTACCGGCCCATAGCAATCCTGATGGTGAGAGGATCGCGGCGGCAGGAAGTAGCTGCAGGAATACTGCTGTGGCCGAGTTCGGTAAAGGAGACGTGGAGAAATGGTGGGAGAGAGACTGCGGGGGAAGTTCGAATTCAGTAATGAGGAGAGTGATTGAGATGATCGGCGAGCACAAAGGGATTGTGACGGTGGCCGTGATTGCGTTTGCATTTGGAGTGTTGATGGCTCCAAAGTTTGGCATTTCACCACCGGCAGCATAGATATATATTAATATATACACGGAAGTTTGACTATACCTGCTAGCCTAGCCTGCATGGTTTCTTAACTTACTTTACTCAGCGATGTATGTATATGATTGTACGTGTTATATGTATATGGCCAACAGGACAATAGAACTACCTGGTTGGTCATTAAACTGGATTAATTAAGCTATATATGTAAGGGAGATGTTACTTGTGTTATGGTGTAACTTATACATATAGGTATCAATCGGGCGGGTTCCGGCTGGGTTCGAGTTCAAATGGGTTGCGGGTTAGTTGGGTTGCGAATTCATCGGGTTCGGATTCAAATGGGTTGCGGGTTCAATCGAGTTGTGGGTTCATCGGGTTTTGGGTCGGGCAGGTTGCGGGCGGATCGGGATGCGGGTTGTTCAGGTCAGCGCATCAAGTAACTTACTCATTACTCGTTACCAACTTACACATTTTATTACACTAATTTAAAATATTTTTCTCAACTTTTTAACCAATTTCTTTCTATATCGTATATATATACTTAATTAAAAAATACTAGTCAAAATGTTGAATCAATTTGTATGACTTGCAAATTTGTTAAATAATTAATCGTAATTGGTAAAGTACACTAGCTAATAGTAATGGTGATATAAATGAAACACCCTAACCCGGTCGGGTACTACTTTTACTAAAATTCCCTTGACAAATAAAATACTCAAATCCTAAATTGCAGCGGGAAAAATTTCATAAACAGAATACTGAAAACACACTTGTAGTTCAAAGCAAAGCCCTAACAAGTGGGCAAATTAAACTCAAACTTTAAAATCTCAATCTGATCTCAAAATAATCTCCAGTCTGTACTCATAATCATAAATGTAATTAACTAATAAACTCTGAAGTTGTTGCTACTGAAAACCTTGACTAAGCATCCTCTGTGACGCTTATGCTGCTCTTCCCTAGCTGGCTTGCCTCGAACAGCTTTCTCGATCTCGCTACTCACTAATTGCTCCTCTAGCTGCAACTATCGGTCTAGTTATCGCTTTTCCTTTACTAAATCCTGGTGAGTGAGATGGGGCCAGTCTACGCCCTTACGTTTTAGTAATTCTAACACTTGAGTACTTTACTTAAACACTTACCTTTGACTAGTGGAAGTTGTTTGTATTTCCGATCTTAAAATCTTAACTCTTAAACTTTGAGGGAGTTGAAGTTACTCTCCTCTCTTAAAACTCAAATCTCGACTTAAATACTTGACTGACACTGGGATCCCCCACTAGCTAGTTCGGTTGCCAATCATACGTATGAGAAGCCATCAAGGCTTTCCTTAAACTTAAACTTAGTTAGGGAAGTCGTAACGATTCATCCCCCTAACATCTTAAACTTATCGTGGTGGCTCTTCACCACGATTCTCAAGAGCATAACTGCTGCTCATCTTAGAAGTCTCAAGAGCATAACTGGTGCTCTGTCATAAAGATCTCAAGAGCATAACTGCTGCTCTATTTGAAAATCTCAAATGGCAATGGACTGGCGCTAGTGACTAAAAACACTTAAAACGACTTCACCTTCTTGAAGGTGAGTTACTTCTTAAAAAGAACTTGTTTCTTTAACTTAAACTTACTTGTAAGTAAAGCACACAACAACATAAAAATGGAAGCATAACTCACACAAATTATATGACATCATATAAGCATACAAAGGCAAGTACGGCACATAGCAGTCAAATCTCAAAAACTTAAATACCGTAAGGCGTAGAATTTACCCACTTTACACTCACCTTACGTCGAAGCGGATTGAATTGAATCAACTACAGCAATCGATTTCCCTTCACTTGATCACATATCCATAGCCACGTAGCCACCCAAACCACCCCTTACTTCATGGCCATGCGAACCAATTGGTGGCTCCCAACTGCTCCACTTTACACATATAGTCAATTAAGTTTCCAATCCCCATTATTAAACCATAATCATCATGTAGAGAAATGACCACGTGAACCAATTCCTATCCTAGAGGTTTCAATTCCTCGCTCTCACTCAATTACCCTTAAGGACACATGTAATTCCATCCAAAACATTAGTAATTTCCAACCCAAATAACCCCAATCATCAATTCTGGCCACGAATCTCTTCCACAAGAAGACAATGGACTTGGTCTATTTAATTCCCTCCACCATGCTATTCTTCCCACGCTATGACTCCATGCACACGAGATAAATAAACTTAATATACTTCTGCTTAGTTTCAATTGAAAGCGATCATCCATGGATAATCAACACTTAATCGATACCCAATTCCATGCATGGCGTTCACGTAGCACCACAATCGATGAAGGTGAACAGAGTTACAGCCCTTACCTCTGTATCACGGCTCCCCGGACCTCTGATTTCTTCTCGTGAGTTGACCTTGCTCCCGCTCTCCATGATCCATGACCCCGTCTCTTTCTTCTGTCGGGCCCAGCAACTCAATCGCTCGGGTGGTGGCGTCAAGATCGCCGTTGAGCGGCTGCAGAACTAGAGAGGCGGCATGTGTGAACTTGAGAGAGGAGAACTGGCGATTCTTCTGGGGGGAGGGAATAAGGGTAAAGGAGCGGCGGAAATGGTTCCTTGCCCCGATAAATAACTCTCTCTAGGAATTAAGTAACGGGTGCCCAAGAGCCACCCTCTTGTGTGGGTTTGGGGTTTTGATTCATGACGATAATTAATAGGGTTATAGGTATAATATGCTCCTCTACTATGACGTTTTATCAAAGATGCCTCTCTACTATTTTTTACATTAAACATGCCCCTGTACTTTGTAAAAATGATCAAACATGCTCTTTTGTTAAAATTTTCATCCAAAAACCGTTAACCAAGGCCGAACTTTAGTTTGGGCGACACAAATGACTAAAATATCCCTGAAAATTTCACTATAGAATTTTTTTGGTTCTTTTGTATAATCAAATCATTCAAATAATTTCACTTTGAAAAGACCCAAAGAAATAAAACATGGGACAAAACTGACATTTTTCTTCCCATTTGCCGATGTCGAGTCGTCTAAATATCGGTTCAACCATGATTGACGATTTTTTCAATGGAAATTTTAACAGAAGGGCATGTTTGATAATTTTTTCAAAGTACAGGGGCATGTTTGAAAAAACGTCACAGTAGAGGGGCATATTATACCTATAACCCTAATTAATAATAATAATCATTATAATACTTATTTCACGTTTGCAACCTCCCCGTCGGGAAACGATCAAATTGGGCCACGTCAAATATTCAGGCCTTGATCCTTAGCCCGGTTTGGTTTAACTTGTTCGTACGTAACAATTGATTCAACCGTTCATTTATTAGGTCGAACCGGAACCTAAAAGTCGGGGTGTTACAATCAACATTCGCAACCAAAAGACACCATTAATTGTTTATTTGATATTTTAGTATTATTTCAGTAGTAATTGGATTAAAGTATCTCGTTTAGTATAACCATGCAAATATGGTATTTGACAAAAACAGAGTGATAAAAAGAGTTATTTCGAAAGTACTCATTGCTCAAATAACTTCAGGGGTCGTTTGAATGAGTTATTAGAATGAGTTATTTCGGCTTAAATAACTCGTTGTGAGTTATTTGGGTCAAAATAACACGTTTGTCAGCAAAATATGAGACAAATTAAAATAACACCTGTGGGTTTGAGTTTTTCAAACCCAGTGGGTTTTACCCTGGGTTTTTTTCACGGATAAACCCATGGGTTTGGGTTTGGGTTTGGCAAAACCCGACCCAACCCGACCCATTGCCATCCCTATATTTATGTGTTGTGGTTGGAAGGTGCTGTGTTCGGATCATGGTTGTCAAACTGGTTTCGTGCCGGGTGGTTCAACCGGTATCGGTCAGCAAACCGGCTAGAAAGGGGCCGGTATTTATCTATGGTCAAATCCGGTCAATGCCGGTCAGTTCCGGTCAAATCCGGAAATTCCGGCCAGTTAGACCAGAAACCGGAATTTAATGTTACACACAGTATATAAAAAAATAAACATCCTACATAGGATTTGAACCAAGTACCTCATGTTCATTTTAGTTTAAGTTACACACCACTAGGATATAAGCAATTTTGTTGTCTATATTAACCTTATATGTTATGTATCTAATACTAAATTTTACACAAATCATTATAAACATTAATAAAATTCATTTAATAAAATTTTATTTTAAGCATCTAATTGTTTAGTATTAGTTACCAATTCTTAGCTATAAATTATTTTGTGTGAAATAATTCTTCTAATTGCTTTTTCATGACTAATTTATTTGGAATTGAGGATTTCCATTTTCCTCATGTATTTTATTAAAACCGGCACAACCGGCATGAATACTGGTTATACCACGATCAGACCATTCCATTTACAAAACCGGCACACCGGCATAAACCGGTTTGACAACCTTGGTTCGGATCTTTTAAGTGCACATCTCGTTTTGTTTTTTTCATTAACAGAGACTAGGGGGCATTTTAGTCATTTTCAAGGTATATAAACGTCTCTTAAGACGAAAAACCAACCCTATACTGCTCTAACCCTAAACTACCAAGCGGCCGCCTCTCTCTCTCTCTCTCTCTCTCTCTCTCTCTCTCGTTTTCCTCTGCTCCTCGTTCTCCTCTATTTCTCGATTTTGTTCCACCAAACGACGGAGATCGACGGTGGCAAAGTCAAACCGCCGCTGCTCCTCCGTCTTCCGCTTCCTTCTTCCTCTGTCTCTTTTGTTTCGATCTTCTCCCTTCTCTGCTCCGCTCGAGAACAGGGAACGACGATGGCACAGGGTCGGCGGCCGCCCCGATCTTTCTTCTCCTCTTCCCTCTTCTGGTAAATGAAGAGGAAGAAGGGCCAGATGGCGACGGCGATTGACGTCGACGACGACGTTCACGGCGACCCAGATAATTTCATGTAAGGTAAGATTTGGGCCTTGGGGGTTCAATTGGTTTATTTCTGATTCAGAATATCTTTTTCGCGTGTTGATTCTGGATTTTTTCGATCTCTGTGAGAGGAAAAGAATGAAGAAGGCAAGCTGCTGATAGATTTTCAGGAGGCAAGGGATCGCCAGCGGCGATTGATAGAGGAGCAAAGAAAGCGAGGAAGAGTTCTGGCCGGCGAGTACTCCCTGTGACGGCAGGGAGGGCGAAGAGTCGCCGCTCCCTGATTCACCGGTGACGAGGGAGACCAAGAAGACGAAGAATGAGGTTCTTCTAGGTAAGGCTTTTTATTACTGTTTTGGGATGATTGAATATGGAAATGGTTGTGGTATTGGCGTGTTAGGTTCCAAAATTTTGTGTTTTATAGTGATTGAAGTTGAAATTTGTGTATGGGTGAAATATTTGGTATATTTTGATTGCGGTTTGTTTTCTACTGGGGATGAGGTATCTGAAAGGAAGGGAAATGGGGAAGGATGTTTGGAACCTCCGGCGATGGAGGTGAATCGTTTCTGGCCGAGACTACAACGAGGGTGAAAGAGCAGGAGGGTTCTACTAGGTAAGGGCAGGTGTGATTCTCGTGGGGTCTTTAGTTGTTTAGGGTTTTGGCCTGGGTTTTGTGTTTTGATTTCTGGGTTGAATGTTGCGGGTCTAAATTTGGGGGATCTGGTGTGATGGTTCTGAATTCTGATTCTGTGAAAATTGTATTTTAGAGCTGGGGAGCGGGACTTGGAACCACAAGAAAACTCAGGATTTCGGTTCAAGTTCCAGAATTTGTTAAAGCAAACAAAGTGGAAAGTTAACTTTGAAAAGACCGTCAACACTGCTATTGTTTGTGTTTACTTTGTCTTAATTTGTTTTAGTGTCAAATTTGGTTCTTTGAGTTTGTGATGGGTGAAAAGAAAAGAATATAACCATTGCCGGTAGTCCTGGGTTTTGCCGGTGGCGATGGCGACGTGTGCAAGGTAAAAGGCTATTTGAGTGTTTGATTCTGGAAATTTTGTGGGGGTAATAAGGTGTTTAGGGGTTTTGGTCCAGGTTTGGATGAGGACAAAGAAAAGGGTGATGGTGCCTTTTTCTATAAGTTTTTAAGAAAGGTAGAAAAATATGATGAATGAGGATTAATTGGGGATGGAATTAATTTAGATCACCAACCTTTTCGGTGTCGTTTGGTGAATGGTATACTTGCTGCCTTCTCCCTAAGCCTTCTGGGGAATTAGCTGGCTGCTTCAATCCTGCTCCGTTCCCCTTTTTGGTGTTCTTGTTGTTGTGCTTTTTGTGTGTGGCCAAGGAAGAGAAGAGGAAAGGAATAGTAATGAGACTTAGTGGTCTCTTTTCTGTCCTTTGTGGTTGGCAGTATGTGAGGAATGAGAGAAGAAAGCACTTTTTGTTTGTTGTTGGGATTGTTGGTATGTTGTTTAAGAGGAAAGGAAAGGGAAGTCTGAAAGTTTTATTGTATTTTGTTTGTGGGTGAGAGAGGAAGTGGATGGGTTTATGTCTGTGTTTGTGGCTGTGTTTTTAGGAGGTAGAGAAGTGCAAGGAAGAAGACAAGGGTTTTCTGAGGAAAAGGAAGCCTCGGTTTGGTAGAGGTTCGTTATCTGTGCGGGAAGAAAAAGGATCAAGAGGAAGAAACTGGTCTTTGGCCGTTAGTTTGGGAGAGAAGAAGAGACGTTTTTTTTATAGAAAAGGCAGCTTGGGGAACAAGCTTGCTAAAGTATTGCTAAAGAAATTTTTTTTTTCTTATAGGCCGCTACAAGCATACTTGTCCCGAACTTTAATCCTATAAAGAAATGTTTAGAAAGTAACTATTGTCAATTCCAAACAAATCGAGTTCTCAACCACTCTTAACCAATAATTAGTATTAATAAATTACCCAGACAAAATGTGATGTCTACAACACCGATGGAGTGGGGTGCAAGTTGGGACCAGGAGGAAGTAGAGTGTAACAGGATGACCCGCCTTAAGGAGGTGGTGATGACCTTTGTCGCCTCCAGATCGAAAAAGTTTGAAAGAATCGACAGATTCATTGGAGAGGAAACAAAGAAGTTCTCCGCCATCGAGGCGAGGTTGGAGAGCCAGGAAACCCACCTGATTAGACTAGCCACAAGCATATGGGTTATCTCACAAGCGGCTCATTCTTGGAGGTTAGCCGACGAGGTTGATGTAGGTGCGGTTACTCTTCGAAGTGGAACAGAGGCCAAAGAGCTACCCCCAAAGAAGAAACAACTCGCAACAAAGGAGCAACAAGTGGCTGGTAGCTTCCCTGCACAACCGGAAGCCACAAGTGAAAGGGAATACAACCTCAACTCTCCGACTCCTCAACCGACCCCTCAAAAAAGAGGATGCCACTCCGACCCCTCAACCGGAGCGAGAAAAGAGAGAAGCAACCCCGACTCTCCCCTTTCCTTCGCTACTCCGCAATGATCGCATGTTAGCAGAGTTTGCCCACTTCATGGAGTTGATGAACAAGTTGCATTTAAACATCCTCTTCCTGGAGGCCATTACCCAAATGCCCAAGTACGCAAAATAATTGAAAGACCTCCTCACCAACAAGAAAAAGCTAGAAAGGTGTAGCTATGGTGAGCTTGAATGAGGAATGCTCCGCCCTCTCGCAGAACCACTTGCCTACGAAGCGTAAAGATCTAGGGAGTTTCCCTATTCCTTGCTTTATTGGTGACGTGTGTATAGGAAAGTCTGTGGCGGATTTAGGAGCTAGCATTAATGTGATGCCCTATAAATTGTTTCAAAAGTTAGACCTAGGAGAACTTAGAGCAACTAGGATTCACATTCAATTGGCAGATAGGTCTATAGTATGACCTAAAGGTGTTGTGGGGGATTTGCTCATTAAAGTGGGACCTCTCGTTTATCCTGTCGACTTTGTTATCTTAGACATTGATGAGAACGTTGAGGTCTCCCTCATCTTGGGTAGACCTTTCTTAGCCACCACCAAGGCTTTGATTGATGTGCATGGGGGAAGGATGGTGCTTAGGGCAGGAGAGGAGGAGGTTACATTGTCTATTGATGATAGCATGCGGTTGTCTCGTTGCCATGATGGTTTTGATTACTACGAAGAGGTTTTTGACTTTATGCAGACACTCGCATCCGCAGGTGCTCTTACTTCTGACCTTTTTGAGGAGTGTTGTTTGGTAGGAATGGATGCCCCGGACTCTCGGAGACTGAAAACCAATCCCTGCAAGATCAAGAAGTGGAGGCCCTACCCTCAATGCCCGAGATCCCTACCTCTTTGTAGGAAACCCCCGAGTTGGAATTGAAACCACTCCCTCCTCACCTCGAATACGCTTTTTGAGGGATGATGGGAAGCTCCCAGTCGTCAACAACGCCAATCTTACACCAGAGCATAAGGCAGAATTAATTGGGGTTTTAAGGCATCACGAGAGGGCGATCGCATGGAAGATCACAGATATCCGGGAAATTGGGCCGAAATTTTGTTCACACAAAATTCACCTGGAAGAGGGAGCTAAACCGGTTCGGCAATCGCAGAGGCGAGTGAATCCTAATATGGAAGAAGTAGTTAAAGCAGAAGTGATCAAGCTACTGGATGCTGAGATTATCTACCCTATCTTGGATAGCCAGTGGGTGAGTCCAACCCAGTTGGTCTCTAAGAAGGGAGGAATGACAGTGGTAGCCAATGAAAAGGAAGAGTTTATACCAACAAGAACGGTGACGGAGTGGAGGGTGTGCATTGACTGTCGAAGATTGTACGAAGCCACTCGTAAAGATCACTTCCCTCTACCTTTCATCGATCAAATCTTTGAGAGACTCGCTGGACATGATTACTATTTCTTTCTAGATGGGATGTCAGGATACTTCCATATTCCAATTGCCCCAGAAGATCAAACCAAGACAACATTCACATGCCCCTTTGGAACCTTTGCTTACCGGCGCATCCCGTTTGGATTGTGCAATGCCCCAGCGACATTCCAGAGATGCATGGTAGCCATCTTTGATAAGCTAGTTGGGGAGATAATGGAAGTGTTCATGGACGACTTCTCAGTTTTCGGAGATTCATTCTCTCATTGTCTGGCCAATTGGAGAAGGTCCTTGAGGGGTGTGAAGAAACCAATCTAGCTTTGAGTTGGGAGAAGTCACATTTTATGGTCCGGGAGGGCATTGTGTTGGGTCACAAAATCTCCAAGCGAGGGATTGAGATGGATCGAGCCAAAGTTTAGACAATAAGAAAGCTCCCTCCTCCAATCACAGTCAAGGGCATCAGGAGTTTACTTGGGCATGCGATGTTTCATGGAGAACTTTTCGAAGATTGCATTGCCCTTGACCAAGCTTTTGGAGAAGGATACCCCATTCCTTTTCACAAAGGAATATTTTGAAGCTTTCAACATTCTGAAAGAGAAGCTTACAAATGCCCCCATAATGGTCTCACCGGATTGGAACCTTCCCTTCGAGCTCATGTGTGATGCTAGTGACTATGCAGTGGGAGCGGTTTTAGGTCAAAGACGGGGTAGATATTTTCAACCTATTTGCTACGCCTCAAAGACTCTGAATGATGCTCTAGAGAACTATACAACCACAGAGAAAGTGTTATTGGCAGTAATCTTCGCTTTTGATAAATTCAGGTCTTGATGACTCGATAATTGTGCATGTTTTTCGCTCTCCTTCTTGATCGTTTAAGCTTTCATTATAGCTTCTACGGCCTATTTTACGCTAGGTTGTGTTCATTTGTCACATTTCAGGTCATAACACATAAAGTGAAGCATAGGCGCAAGTTTCAAGTCAATCGGATATCAATTGGCAACTCGGGGGATGAAACTTGGGCATGACCTGAAGAAGAATGGATTTCTACCTCACTTTGTAACCATAGAATCATGTAAGCTGTCATGATAAGAAAGAGGACGAGACTACGAGCATCGGGATCAAACGACACATGATTTGAAGTCCGAACGAGGGAGAAACGAAGAAACAAAGATAAGAGACCCATAACTACAAAATACCCGACCAAAATACCCTACCGAGTATTTTAACCATCTGATAGGGTATTTTTGGCAGCATCAGAAGGCCCCCCGGTCGTGAACCAAAAATACCCGACCAGGTTTTTTCCTTTTTGCCCAGAAAAGTGACCCTGAGCATTTTGTTGATACCCGACCAGTTCCCTAAATACCCGACTGGGTATTTGGATCGGGTTTCGCAAACGCAGGCTGTTAAAAGCCTGTTTTGTGCATTTTTGGAGGGGGAAAGCTGGGTTTTGGATCCCAAACACCCAAGGGACAAACCAGAGAGAGAGAGAGAGAGAGAGAGAGAGAGAGAGAGAGAGAGAGAGAGAGGGCGATTTGAGGGCACTCTTGGAGTGGAATTGGAGGATTTCTTTGCCTTGGAAGCTCGAGGAACAAGCCAGGACCTGAAGACTGATCATCTGAAGATTCTTACTGCAGTCTCTCTTTTCTCTATGGAGAAACTTCCCTTCACTTAGGTTTTGAGGAACCCTATCTATGTTTGTTTGATTGGATGATTGTATGATTACTTTTACTTGACAATCTTGAGTTCATATTCAATCTATGCATGTTAATGATTCAATTATGCTTTAGTTGAGATTATTGATTATGCTTTGATCATGTGAGAGCGAATACCTGATTAGGTTAATAGAGCGCCATAGATTGATAGTATTGGATCGATTGTTTTAGTAGAAGGTCGATTCACTACTTTGTATCGATTGATAACCTCATTCGATAGAGGGAATCTAGTTCGGAATGCCTTGATCGCTTGTTCTAGAGAAGGATATGTCCCTCTAGGCAATTGACTCAAAATGGCCTTGTTCTTGTAGTCGAGACTTAGGGTCTAGTTAAGGATTCTCCGCATTGTGAATGAAATTGAAACAGGTTAGAGATCATCAATCATTAATCTAGCTAGTGGCTAGGGGGAATCATACCTAAGTGAGTTCCGAACCTGTAATTAGATTAACTTTAACTGTAGTTTGCTAGAGTAGTTTTAGTTGTTCTATCTTAATCTGGTTTGCTAGATAATGAACTGAAGCTAAGTAATAGTAACTCTAGAGACCCGTGGATTCGATATTTATTACTTGAGCCACTATACTGCAGTCCTAAACATTGGTTACACTTGGCCTTTATTAGGAGTTGTGTCATAGCGAGTCGGGTCTTATCTGGTGCTTTCCAAGGTTGTTGTCTACACTGACCACTCCAACATCTGCTTCTTGATGAGCAAGGAGGATGCCAAGCCACGACTTATTCGATGGATCCTGCTACTTCAAGAGTTCGATGTGGAGATCAAGGACAAAAAGGGGACCGAAAATATTGCAGCTGACCACCTCTCGCGGCTTGAAGGACCGGGAGGTACCACTTCCCCAAGAGAGATAAATGCACTTTCCCTGATGGACGGTTACTCGCCCTCGCAGCTGCAGAGAGTATCGCCCCATGGTTTGCCGACTTCGCCAATTATCTGGTTGGAAGGTAGCTACGCAAGGGGATGACTACACATGAGAGGAACAAGTTTTTCTCCTAAATCCGTGGCTACTTTTGGGATAATCCCAACCTTTTTCGAATTGGCACCGACGGAGTCATTCGAAGGTATGTATTGGAGGAGGAAATGGAGGATATTCTAAACCAGTGTCATACGGGGCTAGTTGGAGGCCATCACAGAGGCAACCGAACTGCAAGAAAGGTGATCTAGTCGGGATTCTTGACACGCTAAAACACAACACCTAACAATGGTCAAGTGTAACCAATGAAAGAGACCGCAGTATAGTGGCACAAGTAATAAATATCGAATCCACGGGTCTCTAGAGTTACTATTACTCAGCTTCAGTTCATTATCTAGCAAATTAGATTAAGGATTGATTTATAAACTACTCTACTAACTACTCTACTAATTACAAGTTGGGAACTCATTTAGGTATGATTCCCCTAGCTCCTCAATTAGGTCCAAGTTGCAATTACTTTTGGTTGGTCTACTGTTGATTAAACTGCGGTAGATCCTAAATTAGCTTGGAATCTCTTAAGCTGACCAAGCCCTCTTAGACAGAATACCCGGCAGGCGACTAGACTTCACCCGGATAGACTGACTGCTAAGGCGATTCACACAGATCTCCACTATTGGAATGAATTCTTGCACAAAGCAGTGAATTGGTTGACCCTCGCACAACCAATTCACCACTATCAATCAAGGAAGCTCTCTTAACCTAATCAGATTCTATCTATCATAGGTTAAAGCAGAAATCAAGAGAATTTGATCAAGATTCAATTGACTCAATAAATCATGCCTCAATCGATTATAATCAAACAATATAGCATCCAAAACTTCATACAAGAAAAATCCTAACACATGGAACTAGGGTTCCTCAAAACCTAAGTGAAGGGAAGTTACTCCATAGAGAAGAGAGAGACTGCAGAAATCTGATCTAGATCTTCCATCTCCATCTCCAAGCTTGATTCCCGAGCTCCAATGGCGAAGAAATCCTCCAAAATAGCTCCAAGAATGCTCCCAAGTCGCTCTCTCTCTCTAGGGTTCGTCCCTTGGGTGTTTGGCAACCACAAACCCAGCTCTCCCTCTCCTTTGGCTCGAAATTGGGTTAAAACCCAGAATTTCCTGACTCACACGGCCAGGCCACATAGCCGTGTGGCTTACCCAGCTGCCCGTGTGAGTGCCAAAACGCGGAGTTTTGATTAATGGTCAACCAGGCAAGCTACACGGGCAGGGGCCACACGGCCCTGTGGCTCCCCAGGATGCCCGTGTGAGTGCTCGGTAAATCCCACACGGCCACATGGCCTGGTCACACGGCCGTGTGGGTTTTTAGGTGTGCCCGTGTGGCTTGCTCAGCCTCTGTTTAATGCTTCGTTTCTCCCTCGTCCGAACTCCGAATCAGTCGCCGTTTGATCCCAGACGCTCGTAGTCTCGTCCTCTTTCTTTTCATGACAAAATTCCATGATTATTTGTCCATAATATGAGGTAGAAGTCCATTATTCCTCAGGTAATGCTCGTGTTTCTTCTCCCGAATTGCCAAATGATCGCTGATTGACTTGAAACTTGCGCCTATGCTTCAATTCACATGCTAGGACCTTAAATGTGACAAAGGAACACAACCTAGCGTAAAATAGTCCAAGAAAGCAGTAACTCAAGCCAAAATGATTAAGAAACGAGGGTGCAAACATGTGAAAATCCGATGTTATCAAACTCCCCCACACTTAACCGTTTGCTTGTCCCCAAGCAAACCAAGTCAGACACAAGGTAAGATCACAATTTCAATCATACCAACATTGGGGACAAATCATATAGGCACAAAACATGGGAATCACACCGACTTTCAAACATCAACACATGAACAACTTCAACCGCAACCTGGACAACCACCACAGAGGACATTCGAGTGCAGCAAAATCGAGTAAAGGAGGAGTCTCGGAGTCTCCCTTCTGTTCATCAATCAACATAGACTTGACTCAACCACTTACTCAAGACAGTCACCTCATGCACAAAACTCAAGATATCAGAATAGAGACCGAGCAATCTAGATCCTCACTAGGGTACAAGAGTATAGAGAATATGAGAAAATGAATCGCTCTCTCTCTCGACCAGTGGGGTCAGGACAATATGAGAAAATGCGCATGCTTATTCTCTCAATCCCTAACATCTCTTCACCATGACGGCAGCCTCTAAATGCTAGGGTTCACATATGAGGTGTCACCACTAACTAATCCGGAGGTCTTAGACACATGTTCAGATGACTGGCTAGGGTCTTGGACATGGGGAAAAGGTCTTTTAGGTGGTGGAAGTATTCGTAGCACAAGGTTCCACAATTCCAAACCCTACACAATCACAGTCAATCAACCCACTTACTTTCTTTCTGCCATTCTGCATTACTCAAATTTTTACGAGTACACGAGCGAAGGAGGTTATATAAATGTCAGCATTTCAAGCCAGACTGCTAAGAAACACTACTTAATGGGCACTATTCAGATTTTTGGTAGTGGCTCTCTTTTGCTTTCATTCTTTTTTTCATTCCTTAAGAGAACCACCACCTCTGCACATATTTCAAACATATGCCCAACTTTTAAGCACTACCTCCAACCCTCACATTATATTTAGCAGAAACAGCAGAGAACATGTAAAAACCACTCTGTGGAACCTTCTAAAAGATGCAAAAGGGTGATTTTTCATTGTAGACTGAAAGAAATGACAACACACGGCTCAAAGGGGCTGACTAGAGGATATGACACATCAGGAGAGTAAATTTGGTCGTGGGCTAATCCTATGACTCCATCATCTTAGTTAATGACAACGCGAATGCTACACATTATGGAAGAGGGAACTATCGCACAAGAAAGAAACGAGCAGGCTCAAATCTCACATGGCTACCTATATGCTCTATCTCTCATTCTGATTCCATTAACTAGATGCATAAGAGACTATAAAAAACAAGTAATCAATCCAAGTCGCAGTTGGTAAGCAAACAGTTGAAAAACCGAACCCCTACACAATCCTAATGCACGTCTCAGTCATCATTATATGTTGTCCTAGTCACCATCCAGTTGATATGAATTAATCCAAAAACCATTCAATTCACCAATCAAAACACAGTGCCAATATGATCAAACAGCCGTACTTGGAGCCCTCAAATCTCGAGATTTGGACATCTGACTACGCTCCAAGCACACGTATATAAATTCCAACCGATACAAAGCACCCCCCACACTTAAGCACGACATTCCCCTCAATGGAGCAGAGGGAGAGATAAGGGGAACGATGTTACCGCCTTACCGGAGTGAAATACTGCAGAAGACTTGAAGTAGACCAGTCAGCGGGGGACATATGGAACGAACGGCCATTTCTGCACTAAAGGAACATCAAGAACACACTAGCACACCGTGCGTTAGGGATCAGAGTTGGCCGAGATGGCCACAAAATAAACAATCCACAAAAGAAAATCATAAGGACAAAAACAAACGACGGACTCAGTTCAACCTCCTCAAACAGATGAAGCAAACATAAAAAGTATAAAACAAAAACACATACCGAGGGGCGACAAATACAGCCTACTCGCCGCTACGATTGTCAAAGTTGATGTCATTCATGAATGCATCATCATCATCAGCTGGTGGAGGTGGAAGTGGAGAGTTCTCCAGGGAGTCCTCCAGACTGGTTGCTCGCCCGGTAGCAGCTGGAGCAGATGCCCCTGGACCTCCTGCATGCGCCTATATCGGGCCTGCTCCCTCGCGATGCGAGTCAGGGTCACCCCCTGCTGGGTCTCCATCCGATCAAGGCGCTCATCATAAGCAGCCATCCGGGTCTGGTACTCGGCATGGTGAGCCGAATATTGCTGCTGAAACTGGAGCTGATGATCGTAGAGCTGTTGATTCTGGAGACGCAGCTGCTCGAACTGCTGAGCGAAGTAGTCCTGGCCGGGGAAGGTGGAACTGCCACCCCCGTACTCGAAGGAGGTAGGCCGGCCGGCAGCAGTATCATCCACATCCTCGGGGTGAACATCCTCACCAGCCGCACCCTCAGGAACCTCTGGCTGATCCTCCGCTGGGATCTGAGGTTCAGGAAACCCCTCGATCCACTTGACTCCTCGCTCTTCTCGAAGTAGCTTCATGCGACCTATCGTAAACTCGCCAAAGGCACTGGTATCCTCTGCTCCGTGCATCCCTGCAGTGATATCTGGAAGTAGGTGGCCAGACGGGTGATGAGGGGAGTGCAGTGGATGCTCTTCAGCTCTGAAGCACTCTTGTCGAAGGTTCTTGCCACCACAGAACCCAAGTGGAGAGGATGATCCCTCTGGCGCATAGACTGGATGAAGTACATGGCTCTCCTGGTGATGGCGCTGACACTGTCCGAGGCTGGAGTGTAAGACTTGGCTAGCAGGTGGTGGAGGATGCGGTTGTCGAGCTGCAATGTGCTGGCCTTCGTCTTCCCCGCCGAGAAGGGACGCTGGCCTGGCCGAGCGAGGCGTGTGTACAGTGTCTTGAAGTTCACCCCCTCGGCCTCGGCCTGGTCGATGACAGAGACTACATCACCGAGCTCACAGAGCCAGAGGGGGTGACCTTCAAGACACTGTACACCCGCCTCGCTCGGCCAGGCCAGCGTCCCTTCTCGGCGGGAAAGACGAAGGCCAGCACATTGCAACTCGACAACCGCATCCTCCACAACCTGCTGGCCAAGTCTTACACTACAGCCTCGGACAGTGCCAGCGCCATCACCAGGAGAGCCATGTACTTCATCCAGTCTATGCGCCAGAGGGATCATCCTCTCCACTTGGGTTCTGTGTTGGCAAGAACCTTCGACAAGAGTGCTTCAGAGCTGAAGTCGCTCCACTGCACTCTCCTCATTACCCGCCTGGCCACCTACTTCCAGATATCACTGCAGGGGTGCACAGAGCAGGGAGACACCAGTGCCTTTGGCGAGTTTACGACAGGTCGCATGAAGCTGCTTCGAGAGTAGCGAGGTGTTAAGTGGATTGAGAGGTTTCCTCAACCTCATATCCCAGCGGAGGCCCAACCGGAGGTTCCTGAGGGTGCGGCTGATGAGGATGTCCACCCCGAGGATGTGGATGATACTGCTGCCGGCCGCCCCACCACCTTCGAGTACGGGGGTGGCAGTTCCACCTTCCCCAACCCGGACTACTTCGCTCAGCAGTTCGAGCAGCTGCGTCTTCAGAATCAGCAGCTCTACTACCATCAGCTCCAGTTTCAGCAGCAGTATTCGGCTCATCATGCCGAGTACCAGACCCGGATGGCTGCTTATGATGAGCGCCGTGATCGGATGGAGACCCAGCAAGGGGGTGACCCTGACTCGCATCGAGAGGGAGCAGACCTGATCTAGGCGCATGCAGGAGGTCCAGGGGCATCTGCTCCAGCTGCTACCGGGCGAGCAGCCAGTCTGGAGGACTCCCTGGGAGGACTCTCCACTTCCACCTCCACCAGCTGATGATGATGATGCATTCATGAATGACATCGACTTCGACGACTGTGGCGACGAGTAGGCTGTACTCGTCGTCCCTCAGTGTGTGTTTTTGTTTTCGACTTTTTATGTTTGCTCCATGTGTTTGAGGAGTTTGAGCTGAGTCTGTCGTTTGTTTTTGTCCTTTTGGTTTTCTTTTGTGGATTGTTTATTTTGTGGCCATCTGGGCCAACTCTTATCACTAACGCACGGTGTGCTAGTGTGTTCTTGATGTTCCTTTAGTGCAGAAATGCCCGTTCGTTCCATATGTCCCCCGATACTGGTCCACTTCCAGTCTTCTGCAGTATTTCACTCCGGTAACATCGTTCCCCTTATCTCTCCCTCTGCTCCATTGAGGACAATGTCGTGCTTAAGTGTGTGTGTGTGTGTGTGGGGGGGGGGGGGGGTGCTTTGTATCGGTTGGAATTTATATACGTGTGCTTGGAGCCTAGTCCGCTGTCCAAATCTCGAGATTTGAGGGCTCCAAGTACGGTTGTTTGATCATATTGGCACTGTGTTTTGATTGGTGAATTGAATGGTTTTCGAATTAATGCATGTTAACTGGATGGTGACTAGGACAACCTATAATGATGACTGAGACGTGCAATAGGATTGTGTAGGGGTTCAGTTTTTCAACTCTTTGCTTATCAACTGCGACTTGGATTGATTACTTGTTTTTGACAGTCTCTTATGCATCTAGTTCAGGGAATCAGAATGAGAGATAGAGCATATAGGTAGCCATGTGAGATTTGAGTCTGCTCGTTTCTTTCTTGTGCGATAGTTCCCTCTTCCATGATGTGTAGCATTCACGTTGTCATTAGCTAAGATGATGGAGGCATAGGATTAGCCACGACCAAATTGACTGTCCTTGTGTGTCATATCCCCTAGTCAGCCCCTTTGAGCCGTGTGTTATTCTTTCTTTCGGTCTACAATGAAAAATCACCCTTTTGCATCTTTTAGAAGGTTCCACAGAGTGATTTTTACATGTTCTCTGCTGTTTCTGCTAAATATAGTAAGAGGGTTGGAGGTAGTGTTTAAAAGTTGGGCATATGTTTGAAATATGTGCAGAGGTGGTGGTTCTCTTAAGTAATGGAAAAAAATGAAAGAAAAACAAAGAAAAAATGAAAGCAAAAGAGAACCACCGCCAAAAATCTGAATAGTGCCCATTAAGTAGTGTTTCTTAGCAGTCTGGCTTGGAAATACTAGCATTTATGTGACCTCCTTCGCTCTTGTGCTCTGAAGAATTTGAGTAATGCAGAATAGCAGAAAGAAAGTACTGGTTTGATTGACTGTGAGTTTGTTGGGTTTGGAATTGTGGAACCTTGTGCTATGAATACTTCCACCACCTAAAAGGCCTTTTCCCCATATCCAAGACACTAGTCAGTCACTTGAACCTGTGTCTAAGACCTCCGGATTAGTTAGTGATGACAACCATTTATGTGAACTCTAACATTTAGAGGCTCCCGTCATGGTGAAAAGATGTTAGGAATTGAGAGAATAAGTATGCGCATTTTTCGCATAAATTTGTCCTGACCCCACTGGTCGAGAGTGAGCGATTCATTTCCTTGTTCTTTACACTCTTTACCCCGGTGAGGACCTAGATGGCTCGGTCTTGATTCTGATGTCTTGAGTTTTATGCATGAGTTGACTGTCTTGAGTAAGTGGTTGAGTCAAGTCTATGTTGGTTGATGAACAGAAGGGAGACTTCTCCTTTACTCGATTTTGCTGCACTCGAATGTCTTCTGTGGTGGTTGTCCAGGTTGCTATTGAGGTTGTTCATGTGTTGATGTTTGAAAGCCAGTATGATTCACGTGTTTTGTGCCTATATGATTTGTCCCCAATGTTGGTATGATTGAAATTGTGAGCTTATCTTGTGTCTGACTTGGTTTGCTTGGGGACTAGCAAATGGTTAAGTGTGGGGGAGTTTGATAAACCGTTAATTACACATGTTCTTACCCCTATTCTTGAGCCGTTTGAGGTGTTGATTCTCGTGTTTTAGACCGATTTCACGCTAGGTTGTGCTTGTTTGTGATATTTCAGGTCCTAGTACGTGAATGAAGGTTTGAGAGCGAGTTCGGGGTCGATTGGACGAAGATCGGACGCGTGGAGAGTCGCTGAGTAAGCCACATAGGCACAAATAAAACCCACACGGCCGTGTGAATGAGCAATGTGGCCGTGTGGGATTATGCGAGGCTTCACACGGGCAGACTGGGTGAGCCACACGGCCGTGTGTCCCTGGCCGTGTAGGTAGCCTGAAGTGCAATTATTTGAAACGCTGCGTTTTGACCTCACACGGGCAACTGGGTATGCCACACGGCCGTGTGGCCTGCCCATGTGATCAGGATTTTCTGGTTTTTACCCAATTTCGGGCCACAAGTGAGAGGATCGACTTTTGAGAGCAAAAACAGAGCCCTAGAGAGAGAAAGTGTGAAGAACACATCCTAGAAGCAATCTTGGAGCTGGGTTTCATCAAATCGAGCTTGGAGATCGTCATAGGAGTGGAAATCATCATCCCAGAGCAGATTCTTCCCATTGTTATGAGTATGACTGCTTTGTATTCTGTTTTCCTCTCTCTCTCTCTCTATGGAGTAGAACCCTTCTCTCACTTGGGTATGAAGAACCCTAGTTCCATGTGTTAGGGATTTGATTGTAATGACTTGGGATGATTATACTGCTTGATTTTAATCGAATGATGCATGTTTTATTGAATTGATTGAAGTCTGATCAGCTTTTCCTGATTTCTGCTGCAACCTGAGATAGATAGAATCTGATTAGGTTGTTAGAGCTTCTTCATTCGGTAGTAGGAGATTGGCTATACGAGAGTTAGCCAGGTTACTGCTTTGTACTGGAATCCAATTCCAGTAGTGGAGTTCTGTTCTTATTGCTTCAGCTTTCTATCCCGGTGAAGACTAGTCGTCTGCCGGGTAGTTAGACTGAGAGGGCTTGGTCAGCTTAAGAGATTCCAAGCTACTGTCGGATCTTCCGCAGTCTAATCAACAGTAAATCAACCCAGGGTAATTACAATTGAGACCTAACTAAGGAGCTAGGGGGACTCATTCCCGAGTGACTCTTCTTTGCTTGAGAAAACCGAACCAATTCCTGCTTTCTTACTGCTTTTGCTTAAAACAACAATCACTTGACTTAGTTGGCTAGATAATAGATAATCACGGAGTAGGCAGTAGATCTAGACCCGGGGTTGATAATAGAACTTGCCACTTTACTGCATTCCCGGACTGCGATTACACTTGGTCGCAGTTTGGTGTTGTGTTTCGGAGTGTCAGGCCTCGGTAGTGTAATTACGGGCATGACCAGACCAATTACGGTTGTAATCATGCCCGTAATTGGTTCAGAGATCGAATTTTTTTGCGTGGTAAGAATTACGGGCTGGACCAGGGGAATTACGGCCGTAATTCCAGCCCGTAATTCTGCCCGACATTTGAAAAATGGGCGACGCCCGTATTCTTTCTCTCTCTCATGTCACCGGAAAATCGGCCCTCTCTTATCCTCCGGAGGTTTTCCGGCCATATCTCCTTCACCGGACCTCCAAATCCTAATCCGAAAACTCCCGGTGCTCCTCTCGTCGGAGCGCACAAGTCAAGACCAGTGGGGTCGAGTTTGGCCGTGGTTTGGATCGTCGGAAAACCGCGCCTCTTCGGTGTTCATTCGGCCCGATCTCCCTCATCCGACCTCCAATCGCAAAACCGCGACCACCATCGCGTTCCCGACATCTGGGTCCTCATTCCCCAAAGTTTTGGTTCAGTTTGGCGGTGGTTAAGTCGCTGACGACGAAACTCCGGCGAACTTCCCGGCGAGTTTTTCAACGATTGTCGTGGTGTTCCTCCTTTTCCTCACCTTACCCGTGATATCTCCTTGCGCCTCCAGGTGTGTTTCTCTATTTTTACTGTCTAATTGTGGAGGATTGATATTTCGGGTTTAGGTGAGGGAATTTAGGGATTGGGATTTTGCTTGAATGAATTCGGTAGGCCTACGGTCTTGCATGCTATTTTGATCATACCTTGTGTTCTTTTAACTTAGTTGGCCTACCGAGGAATATCTGGAATGATGGGTTATCGTGCTTAATGTGTAAATTGATTATGCGGTGGTTGCTAGGCAGCATGTGCTTGTGATTTTCCCACTTGGAGCCTAGTCTGTTGTCCAGATTTGTTATCCGAGGGCTCCAAGTGCGTTTAATCTTGTGTGGATGGTGAATGATTTTGAATAGTTTCCTTACTTGGGGCCTAGTCCACTGTCCTAATTTTGTGATTCGAGTCCTCGAGTGCGGTTGATTGTGTACTCACCATTGAACATGCTCTACCATGACCAGAAGAAGACTCTGCGGGACATCCGACGCCGTAAAGTCTATGAGCACCATTACCTCGATTTTGAGGTCTTCGCGGAGCTGGGTGCTCGGGAGGCAATGGAGCCTGCTGTTCGCGCCTACTCCTAGCGCCGCCTCCTTTGCCTCGCTGAGCCAATATATCAGGAGCTCTTATGGGAGTTCTATGCCACCTTCGTGCACTTTCAGACCCGAGCGAGCGCTCACAGCAACACCATCAACTTCATGCTCGGCGGGGAGTCTTATTCCCTCAGCTATGATGACTTCGGTCGGGCCCTGCGGCTTCTGCCGTCATTCGATTGCCACCTCGACATTGAAGAAAAAGACGCTCCTATCTTCCGGGACCAGCGTTTCTTCGAGAGGATCTCCCTCCTAGAGTTCGCAGGCGCTGTGTTCACGCCAGGTTCGACCACCGCTACTCAGCTGCGCCCAGAGTGGCGCATACTCAACCAGCTCTTGGGGAAGTACTACGCCCCTAGCGGTGGCTCAACAAGTCATCTCCAGCTCCGCACCTTGCAGTCCTGCACTCGATGAGCTAGGAGGATGACAATCTCCACTTGGCCTCTGTCCTCGCCAGGACCATCACCAAGGCTTCTCGCTGCGGCCATGCTCTGTCTTGTGGCCCGGTGGTCACTGCCTTGGCCCGGTTCTAAAACATCCACCTCATCGGCTTCACTATGATCCAGGCCCCGACACCCTTCTCCCGGGACACCTTACGGCGTCAGCTAATACTGAAGCGGGATGGGGACGTGACCTGGATTCGGGGACTTCCTCATCCTGTTCCTCATGCACCAGAGGGATATGACCCCCCCCCCCCCCCCCCCCCCCGAGGTGAGCGATGGCGGCACTCGACGTGGACCCCGTCGGACCATGCCTCCTGCAGCTGGCACATCCACTTCTGCTGCCGGCCCGTCTGCTCCCGACTCCACATACTACATTGCTGAGCAGCTAGCAGCCATATCTCGCTAGAACGAGCAGATCCTTGCTAGACAGGAGCACATAAACGCCCAACTCGACCGTGAGTGCGAAGGTCGCCGCCGCATCATTTCGGCTCAGCATTACATGATGCACTACTGGGACATGGACCCTGCTGCTGTTAGCTACCCTTGGGAGGCTTCCCCGAGGCATGAGGATCTCTACCCGCCTCTAGCTGGCGATGATGGCAACGAGAACTAAGCTACCTCTGCCTACTGAACCATCAAGTTGGGCTCTGCATTTGTCTTTCTTTCCAAACTAAGACTCCATTTGTTTGTTTCCTTTTCTCTTGTCCTGTTTATTTGGATTGTAGACTTGGAACTATGGTTTCTTTCACCCAGTGTGTGTGTGTGTTTTGATGACTCTAGCTCTGTGAAAGTTGGACTGGTCCTTGTCTAGTCCCCTGCTCTTGACTGGTCCGCCCTCCAGTCACCGTTCCGGATTAACATTTCACGGTAACATCATTCCCCTTCCCTCTGCTCCATTGAGGGCAATCTCGAACTTAAGTGTGTGTGGGGGGGGGGGGGGGGAGGTGCTTTGTATTTATTCCAACGTATATATGTGTGCTTGGAGCCTAGTCCGCTGTCCAAATCTCAAGATTTGAGGGCTTCAAGTACTAATGTTTGCATGATCATATTGGCATTGTGGTTTAATTGGTGAATCGAATGGCTTTCGAGTTGATGCATGACAACTGGATTGTGACTAAGACATCCTATAATGATGACTGAGACATGCAATAGAATTGTGTAGGGATTCAGTTTTTCAACTGTTTGCTTACCAACTGTGACTTGGATTGATCACTTGCTCTTGACAGTCGTTTATGCATCTAGTTCAGGGAATCAAAATGAGAGATAGAGCATATAGGTAGCCATGTGAGATTTGAGCAGGCTCGTTCCTTTCTTGTGCGATAGATCCCTTTTCCATGATATGTAGCATTCACGTTGTCATTAGCTAAGATGATGGAGGCATAGGAATAGCCCACGACCAAATTAACTGTCCTGGTGTGTCATACCCCCTAGTCAGCCCCTTTGAGCTGTGTCACTTTCTTTCGGTCTACAATGAAAAAATCACCTATTTGCATATCTTAGAAGGTTTCACAGAGTGGGTTTTGCATGTTCTCTGCTGTTTTTGCCAGAAATAATGTGAGGGTTGGAGGTAGTTCTTAAAAGTTGGGCATGTGTTTGAAAAATGTGCAGAGGTGGTGGTTCTCTCAAGAAATTAAAAAAATGAATGAAAGAAAAAGAGAGCCACTACCAAAATTATGAATCATGCTCATTAAGTAGTGTTTCTTAGCAGTTTGGATTAGAAATACTAACATTATGGTGACCTCCTTCGCTCTTATGCTCTAAAGAATTTGAGTAATGCTGAATGACAGAAAGAAAGTAAGTGGTTTGATTGGTTGTGAATGTGTTGGGTTTAGAATTATGGAACCTTGTGCTATGAATACTTCCACCACCTAAAAGGCTTTTTCCCCATGTCCAAGACACTAGCCAGTCATCTGAACTTGTGTCTAAGATCTCTGGATTAGTTAGTGGTGACATCCCTTATGTGAACTCTAACATTTAGAGGCTGTCATCATGGTGAAGAGACGTTAGGATTTGATAGAATAAGCATGCACATTTTTCGCATCAAATTGTCCTGACCCCACTGGTCGAGAGTGAGCGATTCATTCCCTTGTTCTTTATACTCTTTACCCCGGTTGATGCATGCGATGACTGTCTTGAATAAGTTTTTGAGTCAAGTCTAGGTTGGTTGGTGAACAGAAGGGAGACTCTTCCTTTACCCGATTTTGCTGCACTCGAATGTCCTCTTTGGTGGTTGTCCAGGTTGTTGTTGAAGTTGTCCATGCGTTGATATCTAAAAGCTAGTATGATTCCCGTGTTTCGTGCCTATATGATATGTCCCCAAAGTTTGCATGAGTGAAATGTGTTGAGCTTACCTTGTATCTGACTTGGTTTGCTTGGGGACAAGCAAACAGTTAAGTGTGGGGGAATTTGATAGCTGACTCACTTCTACTATCACCCTAGGAATTGGCAAAGTGAAACCACTTCCTAAAGCGTAGTATAGCGGGTTTGGGTTTAAATGTCAACCCGGGTCCTAGATTTGATGACTACTCAGTGAATTCTTGTTATCTAGCAATGAAACTTTAATGCAAGTCTAAACTAACAAACTAACAAAGCAGGTAAACGGTTGTATTCAGGTTAAGAGAGGTCACCCGGATATGGTTCCCCCTAGACTGCAGTTAAGCCGGATTGTAATTACCAAGTTCAGTTTCTATGATAGTTATACTGCGGAAGGTTCTTAAACAGCCTGAAGTCTCGACTAAAGGTCTTCAGACCCTCTCAATCTGAGTCTCTAGCGGGCGACTAACCTCCACCAGAGTAAACAGATTGAGGCCTTAACAAACAAAACCTCAACTACCGGAGTAAATCCAGTACAGAATAGTGAGTTGGCTCCTCGACTAAAGTCACCAACTCTCTACCTTCAATCAAGGATGCTCTATCAACCTAGGCAGATATTCTCATTCTAGGTTAAAGCAGAAACAACAGGAATTTGATCAGGATTCATGCCATTCAATCATTCAAACCTCAATTGAACATAATCAAATCATAGAATCAGTACTTGGGTTCATACAATCAAAGCCTAACATACAAATCTAGGGTTCTCCATACCCAGATGAATGGGAGAACTACTCCATGGAGAAAGAAGCAAAAGCAGAATCAGACGCGGAATTCATACTGTGAAGGATGGATTCCTGCTCCTGGACGTTGATCGGCACTTCTCCAAGCTCAAACTGGCCTCCAATGGTGTTGAAGATCAAGCTAGGGCACTTGGAGACTCTTGTTCTTCGCTTTCTCTCTCTAGGAATCGTTCTATCTCTCTCAAAACTCGAATCCCCTTCTGTTTTGGCTGAAATCTGCTTAAAAGGGCATCAGTGGCCAAAGCACGGTCGAGGGCACGGCCGTGCTTTGCCTCAGCCCGGTCGAGGGCACGGCCGTGCTTTGCCTCAGCCCGCCCGTGTTTTGGCTAGGGTTAATTACACGGCCACCTGTTGGGGAGAAACACGGCCGTGCTTTTGGGTCGACACGACCGTGCTTTGCTGGACACGACCGTGTAATTTCTCAGCCCTGCCCGTGTAATCAGCTCATGTTTTCCAAACTCGAATTAGCTCTCGGCAGTAAAAGCACGGCCACAGAACACGGCCGTGTTCTGTTTTAGGTGTGCCTGTGTTTTGGCTCCAGCTCGACGAAATGACTTCCGAATGCCCCGAAACTCGCGCTTAGCCTTTCCTTTGACGTCTGGGACCTGAAACATGACAAAGTAGCACAACCCGGCGTAAAATAGGGCAAAATACACGACTATGCCCTTCAAACGGATAAGAACTAGGGGTACATGGACCGGCCTGGGTTGACAATTTAAATACTTGCTCTATACTGCACCCGGCTAGAGTTTAAAAACTTGGGTTGTAGTCAGGATTAATTTGTGGTGTAGTTCCGTGCGATTCAAGTTTTTGGCGCCGTTGCCGGGGAACCACGGTCCATTATTTTCAAAAGGTCGCTTGGTGTTGCTCTAGCATTTTCTATCTTGCATTTTTTGTTTGTGTTTTATGTTTCGTGTTGTGTTTTGTTTACCCACTCTTCGTCTTGAAGGGTGGTTTGTGTTTGTTTGATTTTCTTTTTGTGTTTTTGTTTATGCAGGTTGAATCATGGATCCCAATGGCTTCTACAACATGTGGGGGTATCCACAACCACCCAAATGGGGGGGGTACCCCGGAGCTTCATGGAGTAACCAAGAAGAGGGAACCAAGGATTCAGGTTCTATTATCAATCTCCCTTCCAAGAAGAACAAGCATACCATTGGGGATTTCAAGAAGCTCTCCCATATGAAGAAAACTTCCCTCCTCAAGTCGAGGAGAAATCCAAGTTGGAGTTGGTAATGGAAGCTTTCATTAATGGAGGAGAACGAGGAGGTTGAAAGGGCGAACAATGACAACCATAAGGAGCAAGAAGAACTCACCCCGGAGAGCTCACGTGGTGAGGATGAACGAGAAGGTTGCATTGACGAATCTCATCACTTTCCCCTTCATGAGACCAACTTTGAAGACCAAGACACGAGTGTGGAGGAGCAAGAGAATCCTTTTGATTATCTTGCATGGCACCTTGCCCTCCAAACCGTGCTTGAAGACATGAGAGGGTAGGAGAAAGAAGAGGGTGAAAAAAGGAAGATGACGAGGAAACCCTCGAGGATGAATTGGAACGGTCGGAAGTGGTCACGGATGGCCACCGTGATGCTTGAGACTTGGAATGTCCTCTTGAGGTTGAAGAAGCTACCACTCTTTCACATTTTACCCCAAGCGTTGAAGAGGAAGTTCTCGATGAGGAGATGAGTGTCGAGCCAATCGAAGACATAGCATGGAGACTCGCTATTCAACGCTTGCTTGCAGAAGAGCGAGGAAAGATGAGGAAAGAAGAAGTTGTGGAGGATATAGCAGAAAAAGAAGAGGAATTTCTTGAGGATCCCCGAGAGGAGGAAATCAAAGAAAAAGGATGGGAGGTTGAGGAAGAAGAAGAAAGAGTAGGTGGCGTCCAAGATGAGGATGAGGTTGAGGTGGATGAAGCATTCACAAGTTACGAGGGCTATGAAAGCTTTCCACCCGACCTTGACGCACTTCTTGAGAAGGACCCATTTGCGGCTCTTGGCCAAGCCAAGGCCAAACCATCGGCGATCCCCCTTGGTGGATGCGATGGAAGTCAAGCGAGTTTTCACTACATGCTGTGGGGCGAAGAGAAAGATGAAGAAGAAAAGATGAAGAGGTCTCGTGGGTGGAACTTCAAAGCCACTCAAGTTCACTAGCCCTCAATCATGGACTCTTCCAAAGCTCGTGACTTGAGACACCACCTCACCGACGAGAACCTCAACTTCAAGGAGGTTCTTGGGTGGACCGAAACTTGAGGAGCAACCATCCGGCTCACGACGTTAAAGAAGCGCTTAGTGGGAGGCAACCCATCTACCATCGGTTTGTTTGCTTTCCGCTCCAATAAGAAGACCATTGAAGATATTTTGGTGGTGTTGGACGTGACCACGCTCTTCCGGAGCTCACCCGCCCTCCGCTCCCGAGCACAAACATTCACAACTTGATCGGTAACATCGTTCTATCCCCTTCTTTTATGCCATTGAGGGAAATGTCGAGCTTAAGTGTGTGTGTGGGGGGTAGTCTATTATGCATGTGTGTATGAATGTTTGGTGCGATTTTGAATGCTTGGAGCCTAGTTGTATGCCCAATTTTTCAAAATTTGAGGGCTCCAAGCATAACAACTTCCACATTTGCATGATCATAGTGGCATCTTGTGGTGATTTGTTTTGAATATCGTGGTTATTAGCATGGTCTATGGATGATTTGATTGTGATTGTGTGCATCCTATGATGACGACTAAGACTTGTATTAGGTGTGTGCATATGTTCATTTCTCATGTGTTTGTGAATCGATAGATGTTTTGAATCAATTATTCGCTTTTCACAGTTGCCTATGCATGGAGTTTTAACGCGTTAGCTACAGCACCTAGGTAGCCATGTGAGACTTGTGGCGTTCGTTTCGTTCTTGTGTGATAGTTCCCGTTACATGATGTGTAGCATTCACGTTGTTGCTAGCGGGGAAGATGGAGGCATATGTTAAGTCCACGACCCAAATGTTGACCGTCTCGATCTCATTATCCCTTAGTCAACCCCTTTGAGCTGTGTGTCTAAGGGTCGTTCTCGTGTTAGGTAGCTCACACTACTTGAGCTTGATTGATTTAGATAGAACGACCCTACTTTCTTCGTGTCTACACCATTATCGAGTCACCTTGTGTTTGGAAGCTCCATTCATACCATTTGAGCTTAAACGAGATTCCACATGAATGATTTGTGTATGGTTTTTCTAAGCGTTGAAGTGAGTGTGGGTTTAGTTTTTCAAAGTGAACATTGTTCCTACCATTCAAAAATGTGGCATGTTTATAGCTCTCTTTAGCCCGCAAAGAAAAGATAAGAAAAAAAAAGATCAATAAGAGGGCAAAGAAGAAAAGAGAGTGGCCACCAAAAATATAATAAATGTTTAACATGCTCTTAGAAGTGTTGCTTAGCATGCAAGCTTTAGGAACACTTACATGTTGTTTGCCTACCACACTCTTGTGCTTGAAATTGAATAGCAAAGGTAGCAAGAATGATTGTTGCGAATGGTTTGGTGATTGGTTGTGGTTTGGAATAGAGGGAAGTGTGGTTTTTGGCCGATACTAGTAAACATTGAGTATAGGAGAGGGTTCTAATCGAAACCTTAGAACCTTTTGTAGTTTTAGGATGAAAATGCGGAACCTTGTGCTATGTTTGTCACCACCCAAAAAGCCTTTTCCCCATGTCCTAGACCCTAGCCAGTCATTTGAACCTGTGTCCAAGACCTCCAGACAAGCTAGCAACAACACCCATCTTGTGAGCTCTAACATTTAGAGGCTATCGTCATGGTAAAGGGACGTTAGGAATGAGCGTGAATGTGCACTTATTTTGCATCAAATGGTCCCGACCCCACTGGTCGAGAGTGAGCGATTCTTCATCATGTTTTATTCATTTCCTTTACCCCGGTGAGGACCTAGGTTGCTCGATAATTCGTTCCTATGATGTGATCTTCATGCATGAGTAACTGTGATGGGTGAGTCGTCGGGGCATGTTGTGTGTTGGTTGATGAATAATGTGAGAACTCTTCTTTTGCACAATCCTAATACAGCTGAATGTCGTTTGTGGTGGTTGCCAAGATTACATTGTTTTTGTCCATAGGTCGGTGTCAAATAACCATTGTAATTCATTTGTCTTGAGCCCTATGACTTTCCCCAAAAATAGTGTAGAAAAAGAAGTTGTAAGCTTACCTTGTTTTGTACTTGGTTTGCTTGGGGACAAGCAAACATCAAAGTGTGGGGGTTTGATTCAGGCCCAAATGTACACATTTTAACCATCATTTCTTATTCGTTTAGCTTAGTATTTCATCATTCCTCGAAATATTTCACGCTAGGTTGTGTTTGTTTTGATACATTTCAGGTTCCAGCATGTGTGGAAGAGTCGATGTCAGATTTTGGGATAATTGGAGGTCAAAAAGCGAAAAACCGAAGAAAAGTACGAAGTGACAATTGCCTCGTAGTAGTGAAGTGAAGGCGTCCAGGAAATAGCCGCAGTTCACGGCTGGACAAGGCAGTTCACGGTCTCCTTAGACCGTGAACATGGACAACAAACCGTGAACATAGAGTAGTCCAGCGAGGTTCCAAAAGTTATTGATGATAAGGAAGTTCACGGTCTCTAAGACCGTGAACTGGGGCCATTGACTGTGAACCTAGAAGAGTGAAGCGGCGCATTTTGGACGACACTGAGTGCACAGATGCGTTTTTGGTAGTCACGGTCGTGAACTGGCCTACGCGTCCTTGAACTGGTCACTTTCGGGAAAATGTGAAGACATCAGCGTGGAGAGAGAAAGGGGAGCTGCTTTTTGGAGAAGAAACACTTTCTTTCTCTAGGGTTTCAACCTAAACACCAAAAGGGAGTTCTAGTGAGAGATAGAGAGTGCTAGAGTGATCTTGGAGCATCATTGGAGGCTTCGGTGGAAGATTCAAGCCTAGAAGAAGAAGATCTTGAGCTCAAATTTGTAATCCCTCTCTCTCTCTCTAGAAACTCACTCTTTTCTATTGGGTGTTGTAGATCCCTAACTAATACTTTGTAATACTTGTTTAGATTGAATGATTGTGCTTAGCACCCTTAGGTTTGTGCATGTTGATGCTAGCAATCTAATTAGCCACCTTAACCTAGCTTAGAGAATAAAACCCCCCTTCCAAGGGAAACTCAATCGAGTTGGTTTTCCTTCCGCTTTCTAAGCCACCTATAGGATAATTTAGGGCAACCCTCATTGTTGAATTAAGCAAATCGGTCAATCGTGATTAAGCCACCCAACCTTTGAGTTGAGTGAGGGAGTAAGTCAACTACGGATTGCCTAAACCGAGAGGGTCGAGTGACACGACCAATATTGTTCACGTCGGTTTAGAAATTGAGATTGTGGTCTCCGACCATATATGCATCCCTCTGCGGTTCATAATTACCCTGCCCATAGCAATTGTTCCAATCCAACGAGTCTTGGTATCTAGTTAGGGGGAAGCAAATCCTGGGTGAAGCTCCCTTAGTTAGACATTTCCTTTATTTACTTTTATTTGCTTGGTTAGTTTGTAGTTCCAATAAACCTAAACCCAAACCGTTTTGCTAGATAACAACTTAAGCGATTGAAGTAGGGGTACATGGACCGGCCCGGGTTGACGATTTAAATACTTGCTCTATACTGCACCCCGCTAGAGTTTAAAAACTTGGGCTCTAGTCGGGATTAATTTGTGGTGTAGTTTCGTGCGAGTCACCTGCTCGTGATCTAGGGCAAAAACTCACCATTCCATTTAGCATCTTCATGGCCCGGGTGGAATTGTCATGGTTGACTGACTATGACAACTGACTTGTCCACGAGGCATGCAAATGCTCCCGAAAATCATCGAACTTCACGGTCAAGGCTGAATCTTCACGATATCTCGCCCGTCATAATCTCCCCCAGGTCGCAATCTTTGCCTTTTGTCCATTTCGATATGCTTTCGCCCTCTTTCGTTCGACTTTCGCTCCTTAGGTCAATTTCACCTGCTAGAACCTGAAACGTGCTAAAACATGCACAAACCTAGCGTAAAATCAAACCCCAGGCGATGTAAATGCCTCAAACGTCACAAGAATATAGGGTGAAAACATGTGTAATTGAACCCGAATCAGCATACATATGGTGGTTGAGAGTAAAGACATAAACTAATTGATTGCATCACAAGCTCTTTGGAGGGTTAAGATAAGCAAGCGGAGGATATGCTAATCACCAACGATCGACTAAATCTTTATAGAATCCCTGCTCTTTTACAGTCACCATGAACTCAATCAGATTAAGAGGCTCTTTTACAGTCACCATGAACTCAATAAGATTAAGAGCTTAAAAATACATTGGAAGAGATATATTTCGATGAGATTATTGATGTAGCCAAGATTGTTTGAACAAGTACATGATTTTTCAATGTAAGAATTTCGTAATTTATGGAATGATAGGCTTTTTGAAGGAAGGAAAGTAGGAAACGAAGATTTGATGATTGATAGCTAGAAAAACTAGAAGATGTTGTGAACGAGCAAGATCATGGGTGTGTGGTACTCATGAGGTGCCTGTTGAGGAAAACTTGGGTTTATGGTGGAAAGGAGATAAGTGTACTTATTTTCCTTCTATAAATAAATGTAACACCCTACCCTGTACGTATTACCTAATCATATTGTTCATGCATTTGCAGCGGAAATAATCCCGGGTGTTACATTAATTACCGAAATTTACCCAAATAAAATTTAGACATGAATTACTACGGTAATGGGCTAACAGTTCTTGCATCTAATCCTGCAAAATAATTCATCTTAATCCATGCATTCAATGACAAACATATATACTCACAACCATATACATGGGCTTTCATAGCCATATTCACAGTTTCATACTACACAACTGCATACCATACTGATACAAGCCATAATCGTCACAACTTACACAATTACAAAAATATACACATATCATCAACTTTCCACACTTGTGGATATCTCACACTACATCAAAAGCTAGTATGCACATGAAAAATGTTCTTAAAACATTTTTACAAAAAGGTGTGGATCACTGGCCAAAATCCCAAGTAGTCGTCCAAGCACAGAATAGTTGAAGACCATACCTCATCTTGCCTTCAACTCTAGCTCCTCTCCCACCTAACACTTATCTACTGCTGCTGCTGATGATCTGCTTACACATAGCATAAGCAGAGAAGAAGAATAAAAGAGGGTCAGCTCATAGTTGAGTGAGATAATCATAGCATCGTGAGTTCATAACAGAGCATACCCCTATCATACATCTAACAATCAAGCCAAAACACTAGGATCGGACCTTAGCCATCCTCATATCCCAATGGGCAAAAGACTCAACCACCTTGGCTTATGCATATGCATCTTATCATGTTTTAATCATAGGCGCCTGGCTACTCCCATGCTAATTACTCTCCCGGGAATACGGACCAAACATCTCGTGGATGTGGTCATATCGGACCCACCACTGTCGGTGTAGTCATATCGGACCTGACACCACTCTGGGTGTGGTCATATCGGACTCAACACCACTCTGGTGTGGTCATATCTCATGATGAATCAACGGTCAACACCACATCAGGGGTGTGACATAACATATCATAACGGAGTAATAGCATGGGGAGCCTTAATTACTATGTAATTGACCATGAGACCAAAGTACTCTTATTTGGTATCCTTTTACATGATCCATATCTCATCTTGCTTAATCATAATTCATTACTTGGACATGTTCTTGACCTGGCCACAATTGGCTCAACATAACCAGGAGTCGTATAATTGCACTTCCTCGGGATAAACCCTCGTGCAAGTCATCCTCCTTAAACATCATAATATCACCATGAGATATATAGTTTCCCACTTGTGCATCCAAATACAATAATCATGAAAAATCATACCCAATCACCTTCTCAAACTATCATAAGACATATCCACAATTAAACCCACATCTGGCAACATGTATGCAATCATCAACATAAACAAGGTCCATATCGATTAAGGCAAGTCAATAATACCATACAACAGTCCAGGGTTCATCATACAACACAAAAGTTCATAAACCCCTAATCATGCCATTCTAGTTCACCTAGGTCAATTCTAAGCATCAATATAATTATCGTGATACGACAAACCCGGTATGTCGTGCTAATCCCTCACTAGTTCTGGTCGTTCAAACACCGGTTTTAGCTTCCCGTACTAAAACGTCAACTTCACGAACGAACCCAGAATCAAAATCCGAGACCTTACTAATATCCCCTGCAGTATCCCCGTCAATGTTAGTTCTAGGCTCTGTATCAAATTCTCGATAAAAACACATCAAACCCTGTGCGCGTTCTGGTTCTGCTTCTGTCGATCCCAAAAAGGCAAAGAAAGAATAGAAATGGGATGGATGGGAAAGAATGGTAGGGAGGGGAATTATATATATATGTGGCCCTGACCGCTAATTGATTTTTTTATATTAATTATAATATATATATGGGGAGTTCTACGGTACCCAGAGTGAAATCCGGGGTACTGCATACCTTGAGTAAGAAAACGCTATCCAGACTTAAATTGACTGATCTTTCGGACATGATACTATACTCTAACCCTTAAAGATCAAAATCTAGGTCTTAATTCTCTAAATCTTATATCCTAAGATCAATTTAATTAGAAACAATAATCGACGATTATGATTCTTCCAAATATAGGCAAAAAAATTAATGCACCACTTAGGGTTTATAGTTTATGATTTAAATAATTAGGACCTAGGGTTCACTCATTAAGGGTTAGGGTATAGTATCATGCCCAAAAATCCTGCTAATTCGAGGTCTAGATAGCGTTTTCATACTCAAGGTATGTGGTTATATATATATTATAATTAATACGTATACTTATCCGATCGATCGATAATCCGATTTTTGTCGAAATACTGTCAAAATGGTCGATTTTAATTCGTGAAATTTTCTAGCGACAGTAATACGATTTCAGCCGAAACGGGATGTTACAATAAAATTTAAAACACAAACGAATTTAGGTAATTTTAGTTTTTTTTTAACAAAAGATAATCATATTGATTGATAGAAAATATCAAGGATTACACCTTGGAACCAACCCAGGAACAAAAATCATACAATCGACAAGAAGCTGGAGGCAAAGAAAGGGACTTTCTAATCACTGAATGGGCTACCCTATTGCTAATCCGACCAAAAAATCAAACCTGAAAACAACTATTCAGAGCCATCATATGCAGAATCTCGTGAATAATTCAACCAACACGGCTATCTTGTGCATATGCGGCATTAATTTTATCAATCAGCACCTTCGCATCTCGCTCAAACAGAACTTGAGCAATACCGAGATCCTGACACCACTGAGTCGCTTCACGGAGGACAATAGTCTCTACCAAAAGAGGCTCAACAATATTCTTGAAAACCATGTCTCTTGCTAAGACCACAGACCCTCCATCATCCTTCAAAATCAGCCCACCTGCTGAATGCGAACCAACACATACCGCACCATCCCATATGCAGACGATAGAAGGGCCTACCTCCCCCAGATTACGTTGCAAAGGCACCTGATCCTGAACCAACCTATCATCCGGTATGGACACCCATTTATGGAGTTGCTGATGGTACTGACGCATCAGTTGAGGAATCAAGAACTGCTTACCTTCGAAGGCAGCCCAGTTCCTAGATTTCCAAATACGCCATAGAAGCACCACCAGAGCCATAATCTGATCCAACTGGGTCATCCGAAGCAAACATTTCTTAAGGAAAAATGGAAAAGTCTGACGTGGCAAACCCTGCCCTAGATGCTCTAATCCTGAGTGAGTCCAGAGGGCTGTAGCGATTGGACACTCCATGAAGAGGTGTTCTATTGTTTCAGATTCCGCCCAACACACCGAGCATCGAGGTAAAATCTGGATCTGTTTCTCAATCCGAGCTTTAGTAGTAGGCAAGATACATGTGCAAATTTGCCACAAGAACAGTTTTTACTTAGCCGGAATCTTTAACGCCCATATCCGCATCCAACTCGTTCTAACCATCCAGCTGACCGTGGATCGCCACTCATTTACATGTCTATCCGCCAAAATCGCAAGGTGATAAGCAGATTTAACAGTGAACACCCCCATCCATGTGTCATGCCAAATCAACTTATCCTCTACTCCTCCACGAGGTAAGGGAATTGTTGTGATACCACGAACTACGTCCAGTGGAAACATCTGCAAAAGAGACTGAAGCTCCAGCCTTCCCCCCAAGGATCAATAAGCTCGGCCACCTTTGGATCACTCCTTTCCGGGATGAAAAGAGGATTACAATGCCGAGGGTAAGGATGTGAACACGGGGCCCAGTTGGAATGCTGGATAGACGCCTGAAGGTCATTTCCAATATGTCATCACATTCCTCGTTGAAGAAGGAGACGGTCATGGAGAATACTCTATCATCCCTGAGATGAGCCAGATCTCGCGGTCGCTGTTTGGAAAGTGCCTGTCAGAAAGTATTTCCCTTTATAAATCAGGGATAGGAGGGACTCTGGTTCGTTAAGAATCCTCCATCCAATCATAGTCAGGAGGGCTTGATTAAAATGCTCGAACCGCCGAAATCCCATCCCCCCCCCCCCCCCATTCATGTTTGCTTGTGCATAAGTTCCACCAGGAAATCCATTGAACCCGAGGGCGACCCTCTTCAACTCCCCACCAAAATCGGGCCACATGTTTATCTAGAAGACGACAAATGAAGAAAGGGAGTTTGAAACAGGACATAATATGACGTGACAGAGAAAATGCAATGTATTTAATCAACGTTTCCTTTGTAGCAATTTAGGTAATTTTACTATTTATAAAATGCATAACAAATCGTTCGAATGTACTATTAAACTTTGTTATTTCAATTTTAGTTTGGATTTATATATTGAGTCCAGCGTTTTAAAAAGGTGTTCTAATATTTTGTCTTAAATTTGGTAATATTAACATAAAGTAGTCCGAAGAGTAGTTAGTATAATATGTTACGTACAAAATACATTCGAGTGTTTTATTTCGTCTCTAAACTAATGGTACATTTAATAGTACGTCAATAGTTTTAAAATATAAAATTAATATTTTTTATAATAAATTAATATATAAAATAAATAATTAACTTAGCAATTAAATTCATTAAATACGGATACTAAACATATTATACGGCTTTTATATGTGTTTAATAAGGGAACCATAAAAAAATGAAACAATTTGACAATAATACGAATACAAAAAATTTAAACCGATAAAATGTATATGTGTATTTAATATTTTCCCACCAACTAACCGAGTTAAAACTATGTGAATTGAAAAGGGGTAAATGAACTGAAAATTAGTATTTCGATAAAAAAAAAAATAGTGATTCTAATAATAATTTACATTACTCGAGCCAATCACAAGGCGCCATTTGGTGGGGAGCCTGCAACAGCAACGTCGCCACAGGCCACAGCCAAATCGCCCGGTCACCGTGATGGTACTGCTGTATATGTGAATTGCATTCCCGCTCTTCAACGTATTCTCCTTTTCAATTTTCAGAAATCAAATTACCTCCTCCTGCCTGCAAGAAACCTTCCTCAAGAAAATGGCGAGGCAGGTTCAGTTGCTCCTGAACCTCGCCAGAAAGCCCTCCACTTCTTCCCCTCCTACACTTCTTTTCCCCACCTTTGATCCTCTTCCTCATCGTGGCCATTCTGCTAAGCGCCGAATTCTTCCCCCTTACGATCCTGCTCCTCCTCGTCCTGAAAATTCTACCGAGTGCCGGCGAACTCTTCCCGCCTCCGATCCTGCTCCTCCTCGTCCTGAAAATTCTACTGAGTGCCGGCGAACTCTTCCCGCCTCCGATCCTGCTCCTCCTCGTCCTGAAAATTCTACTGAGTGCCGGCGAACTCTTCCCGCCTCCGATCCTCGTCCGTCACCACTTGTAGTTCTGGATCCGAAATCATTTGGGGAAGCCATTAGTGATAAAATCCTCACTCAGATGAAGCAGTGGAGGAAAGAAGATAAAGATTCAGCGAGGGTAAACACCACAATTGCCTTCGTCGGATTCTTCTCTGTCCTATATCAGCTGTGGAAGGATTATAGTGCTTGGATAGAGAAAAAGAAGGAAGATTCGCCAATATTGAAACAACAATCTGAGAAGTTCAAGAAGGCGGAGACCCAGAAGAGAGCTCTCCGTTGAAAACCCAGAAGACGTCAAAGGAAGAATTGAAGGGTTCTGCGGTGGAAACCCAGAAACCGGGCGAGGAATTGAAGCGATTTCCGGTGGAAACCCAGAAGCCGGAGAAAACTCAGAAACAGGAAGAGGAATTGAAAGGGGCTGCCGCGAAAATCCAGAAGAATCCGGGAGAGGAATTGAAGGAGCCTGCCGCAAAAACTCAGAAGTCAGATGATGAATTGAAGGGAGGCTCTGCGGTAAAAACCCAGAAGAAGAAGCGTCTTGTGGTGATGGGATGATCGGCACGGCGATACTCATCACGATTCTTTATCTGCGGAAGAAAGAGTAGAGAAAGTGACCGAAGAGTAACAAGACAAGACGAGGGTAGCATGGTCTTTGGTTTGTTTCTTGACTTTCTTTCATCATGTACAGTACAAACAAAATATTCTTTGAATTGATTGATAAATCATAAACGGGATTCTCCATTTTGACCTTACTCTGTTTTCTTACTTTTTCTGCATTTTCTCCCGATTCTTCCCTCTCAAACCCTTACCGCCCCGGACTTCTTGAGCTCACCCTCGCTCAATTAGTTTCTCCACCACCGCCGAAATCCGTCGCCTCCTCTCCCGCCCACAATTCCTCTTCCAATTGACGTTCGCTGGCCTTGTTCTTGGCTCTGCTCCGTCGATGAGGAGGTTAGGGGTAACGAGTAGGGTGGTGGGTGAATTTCCCTGTTAAATGTTAATGAGATGCAGAGAAGAGAGTCGGCTGCTACTGCTTCCAATGCAGTTAAGATATACAGTTCATGTTAGTTAGGTGATTGAGCTACCGTTTTCAGATAATTCCATTATCGGTAACTGGAATTGTGCCCAGATTGTACTTCTGCCGTGTGGTTGTGAACAGTCAGTGTACGTGGAGAGAACAGGTAAATGCTTGATCATAAACTTCAAGTGTTCATGGAAGACACTGTATGAGATTGTGGAACAAGATAACAGTATCTTTCCTACTTCCTGCGATGGTAAGCTATAATTTGTGTCAACTTCATTATCTGTTAGAACTTGTGGGTTGATTTTCAATTCTGGTTCAGAACTTGTTTATTCATTGTTTAAAATCCAGTTCCAGACCCTTTGCCCACTTTTTGAACTATTGAGATGACAAGATTCCCTTGCATGATATCAGAGTTTTGATGTTTGAAAGTTCTCATGTTCGAAATCTTTATCAACCTTATTAGCAGTACTTCCTTGTGACTTGTGAGTTACCATGTATCTTGGTAGGTTTTCCTAGCAACTCGAATTAGTGGTATGATTGATCTGAACTGAACTGAATTGTTCAAATTGTGGGTCCTCAGAGGAGATCCCTTACTCTGAAAGATCCTAAAAAGTATGAATTCCGTCATAGGAAGCTATTTAAGCAGGTTAGCTTAACCTGTTCAGTTTGTCCAAACCCATAAACTTGAAAGGCTACTAGCTAGCACACCTGTTTGTTGCAAATACAAAGATAAAACTTAAAAGGCTTTAGCTATCGAGCCTTTTTAGTTAGTCCTAACCCATAAACACCGCCTCGTTGTGAAATGTATTCAGGGTCCAACTCCAACAAATTCTATTAATGGTGGTCGTGGGAGTGAAGGTTTGTTCGTGTTAAACAGGTCTCCTGTTGTTGCTGCTTCTGTTGCTGCGGTTTCTGGCTGATAATCAATCCCTGTCTAACTTTAACATTTAAGTGCTAGGAACTTTGAAATGGTAATACCATACCGTGGATACTGGCATTGTAGGGTCTAGTGAAATGATTTTGCCACAAGCATATTCCAAACAAGGATACTTTTGTCAGCTTAGACAATGAGAGTGATGAGGTTCATCCACAAAGTATCTACTTCATAAGCAAGATCTTAGCGGGGATGAAGACTGCTCTCTAGCATTGCAAGATTGTTGAAAAAGATGTTTTGTTTATTCAGTTGTCAGGGAAATTGGTTTGAAATTATCAGATAGCCAACTTCTTGGCTTGAAGTGATATTAGAGCTCTTGTTCCATGATGTCTCAAGAGTTTGCGTAATTATGATCGACTGGTTGTACGACGATGACAATTTGAGAATAGCACCATTCATACTATAAAGGTTTCTGAGGTTCGGCCCATAAAGCTTCAGCCTTTTCCTCATATGTCAAGTAGAAAAGTAGTGCTATGATTTGCCTACTTTAGCTGTGCTGTTTTCTTTTCAGTCGAACCAAAAAACATGAACAAATTTTGTAAAGAAATAGAATTCAGCTGAGTTATACCATGGTGTGTTGGCCAAACACGAAAATTGGCTTTAGTAACATCGTCAGTTCTCAGCTGTACACTGGCTTTTTGTCACTCTCTTCTACATACTTGCTTCCAATTGATGTTTGAAATTGATTGTCTGAACTTCTCTTTCATGTGGGCATTTATTTAAACGTCACTTATCCATTTTCAAAAGCTTGTTGCATCCTTCCTCTGTGACCTTTGTGCCTCAGACTTTAAGAACAACCAACCAATTAGGATATCACCCTCAGCTCAGATTTATGTTATGCTGATAAACCTTATGAAATTTGGAGTCGTATGTGGAATTATCTCGAGTCTATCTAGTTCCTAGTAGCTTAGATGTAGTTATATTTGATTGTGTTGAGCTTTATAATTTAATGTTAGTTATTATATAAGATTGTACTTGATGTAAGCCTCATAGAGCACAGCTATTGGTTGGTTATATATATAACATCTGAAAATTTATCTAGTTTTACTGTCAATTTCCTTGGAAAATAAAATTTTAAATTGAAGTAGTAAGTATAATTTTCTTTGGAAAAACATCTGCAAACCTAAGACATTTCTGTTTTCTGAGTCAGTTTCAATTCTCAGCATTTACGTAATTGTGAGCCAACAAATTATTATTGTTTCCAGTTCCTGTTCAGCCCTCAATTCTTCCCTGTTTTGACAGTGATACCAAGAGGGACTGAACTGGTTGGAGCTTAGAAACCAACTGTAAGTGAGATGGTGAACATGAGACAACTCACCATTAGCTACAATGCTTATGTTCTTCTTAAGATGGATCATCGTAAATTACAGCTCCACCAACATTTCTCCCCTAGCATCAGTGGGTTGTTCACAGCTAGTAACTCAAGCACTTGCCTAACACATTCTCTTGCCATATCATCCCAGTGGGTTGATGAGGCTGTAGTAAGCAGACTTGAATACAACATGCAGCAACTCTGCTCTGGAACTTCTAATTTCGGGCAAGGGAAGCAAGTTCATGCACAGTGCATACTCCATGGATTACTTGACAATGGGGTGCTGGGGCCAAAGATTTTGAGGATGTATATTCTCTGTGACAGCTTCAGGGATGCTGTCAAAATGTTTTATCACGTCCCTTCACATTATACCATGATTTGGAATTGGATGATCAGAGGATTTGATAACCTGGGTCGCTTTGATTTGGTCTTACTATTCTACTTCAAAATGTGGACTTCTGGTGTTTCTCCTGATAAATACACATTCCCTTCTGTAGTGTGAGCCTGTGGTGGGTTGAACAATGTTGCACTGGCCAAATTAATTCAAGATGATGTTTTAGTCGTGCGTTTTGACTGGATATGCACATGGGTAGCTCGTTAGTGAAGTTATGTGCTGAGAATGCGCATCTGCAGGATGCTTGTCTACTGGTCGATAGAATGTCTCAAAAAGATTGTGGTCTGTGGAACGTGATGCTTAGCAGTTTCGCAAAATATGGGCAGTCAGGTAGACCACTGAAAGCATTCAGTGAGATACAAAATTCGGGTATAATACCCACTGCAGTTATGTTTGCTTGCGCTCTTTCTGTCTGCTCAGCAGATGCAATGATTCGATTTGGCTCTTTGATTCATGGACTTGCTGTTACTTATGGGTTACAGTTCGATCCTCATGTTGCAAATACACTAGTCTCCGTGCATTCTAAATGCAGATGGTTGGCTGATGCACGCAAACAGTTTGATAATATGTTTCAAACTGATTTGGTTAAGTGGAACTGCATGATGGCTTGACTGGTGCAACATGGGTTTATGGAAGAAGGTTCAAATTTGCTTAAGGAGATGATATCTGCAGGCGTTAAACCAGACGGACGGACATTTGCAACTTGTCTTCCATCAGTTGCAGACTCCATGAGTTTCACACTTGGAAAGGAAATTCATGGCTATATACTTAGGCATGGTATAAGTTTGGACGTCTTCTTGAAAAGTGCACTTATTGACATCTACTGTAAGTGTAGGAATGTGGAAATGGCGTACAGATTTATAGCCAAAGCAGCAGCATTGATCTGGTAATGTCCATGGCTATGATCTCAGAGTACGTGCTAAATGGCAAGGCCAATAGTGCTTTAGAAGTGTTTAGGTGGTTTCTTCAGGAGAAAATGAGTCCAAACTCCCTCACCATGGCAATCATCTTTACGACTTTACCTGCATGTGCCAGCCTAGCGGCTCTGAAACTGGGCGTGGAATTGCATGGCAAAATCCTGAAGAATGGGCCAGTATTAGAAGGTAATGTTCATTTAGAAAGTGCTGTTATGGACATGTATGCAAAATGTGGAAGGCTGGATCTTGCTCACCAAAATTTCAGAAGAATGCATGTGAAGGATGCTGTTTGTTGGAACTCCATAATTACTAGCTGTACCCAGAACAGCAAACCAGCAGAGGCCATATAACTGTTCCGGCAAATGGGAAAGGAATAAGGACTAACGTATAACCGAATAAGCATCTCTGCTGCTTTATCCACTTGCACAGACTTGTCCTAACTCCAATACGAGGATATACACACCGTTTTACTCACGAGTACAGTTGATTATGATTTGTTTGCTCAAAGACCTTTGTTTTTTTTTTTTAAAGTGATTTCATTCATTCATTCCCCAAAGAGCAAAGTTACAGCAAAGCAGATACAACATTGAGAAAAGCATATACAACATTGAGAATATGAAGCCATTCAAGATGAAGGCCATTAAGTCTACAGTTTCTAGCCACCCAATCAGCACATTTGTTGTGGAGACGACTCGTGAAAGAAACACGAATCCTTGTCGAATGTTGCAAGATTCTGGAGATGGAGGAAAGGGATGCGTAACAACGCCAAGGCCAATCAGCAGGCTGGCCATTGAGAGCGTCCACCAGAACTTTGCAATCGGACATGATAACTGAGGGGGACGGGTCTTCAAGTGCACAATGGCAAGCTTCAAGAATTGCATGTGCCTCTGCTTCAATTGGGGAAGAACAAGAGATCCTTCCAGCCTTTCCATCACAAATCTGTCTATTGGAGTTAGTAATAACTAATCCAAAAGCCGCCTCCTGTGTCACATGATCAAAAGAACCATCACAGAAAATCCTTTTCAGAGGAAACAATGGCGGTGGGCATGATTGTGGTGGAATGTTTCTAGGCTGAGTGAAGGAAGGAACGGGAGTAGGATTGTAACAAGGTTCAGCTGCATCTCTGAAGGCGCAAATGGCAGTCAAATGTGAAAGTGCATTGATCGACATGTATTATGCCAAATGTGGTAACTTGAAACTCGCTCGGTGCACGTTCGACAACTGGAAAATAAAAATGAGATAGGAAGATTAGGGTTTGGAAAGCCTTTTTTAATATTCTTATTATTCATTATTATGAAACTACAAAGCACACTTATATAGGTAGAAATAGGAAACCCTAATAATAAATTTAATTCTACTAAAAGACGACGACTACTACCACTATCACTACTAATAATAATAATAAAAAAAGAAATCGGTTTCCATTATTCCCTCCTCCTTGAAACTAACCTTGCCCTCAAGGTTGATAACTCGATCCACTATTGCCTCTTTCTCGTGCAATTCGCATGTCGACTGCTCAATTTCTTGTGTTTCTTTTTCTTTCGATTCTCTCCGCCTCTTCATTGAGACACCTTGCTTTGTCGGATCCTACGAAACAGCTCTCTTCCTCCAAGTTAATAAACTCACTCTCAGTATCTAACAATCGTAGCCCATTTTTCTTCCAAAAGTCCCAATTAAATAATAGGGCCCAAACTCTATCGGATGGGAGAGAAGGGGCCATATAGTTTGTATTGCCAATCCTGTCCCCATACGAGCTAGTCCGTCACCGAATGACCCTTTTATAACGCAACTCTTTGGCCCACTACAGATTGTTGCAAATGCGCTTTAGGGAAGGAGAGACTTGGCTGCTCACATGGATGAGGGTCACCATCGCCGCCTTCGGTCCGCTTCTCATCCCCCGGCAACGGCCATTTCACCAGGTTGAGGAAAGGTAAGCCCATTGACCCGCCACTCACCTCCGACTCCAACTCCAACTCCTGCTTCGTCTTCTTGGTGACCAACCCTGCCATTGGAACCGCAGTCCTTGGCATGCCCAGGATGGCCATGCGACTTACCGGATCTGTCTTCCTTTCAAGCATCTAAGAGTTCCGCCGGTCGCTAGGAGGATTTGAGCCAACTTCTGGCCTTCTCAGCTTCTCCTTCATGGTGATTCCTTCAAGAACCGTCACCTTCGCCTCCGTGCCAGCACCCGCGTCAGCTGGAATCTCCTCCTCCGCCTCTGCCATCGCCGCGGAAACGACTTCATTCGGCCCTGTCTTGGGTCCCATTCCCGTCCGAACTTCTGCAAGGGCAACCGTCGAGCTGCCAACCACCGTCGTCTTCCTCTTGCCCTAGATGGCTTCGAGAGTCGCCTCCAGCTAGTCCAACAGTTCCTTAACGGTGAGTTTTGATGTACTCATCAAGCTCTTTTTTTTACAAGGGTGATATAGGTTTTATTTTTTTATTAAGGTACTATTTAAGAGATTTGAACATCTACTCATCGGGCTCAATTTGATAGGAAGCTAACCCTGGTTAAGAGTTGTGAAGAACTCGCTCTCGAAAATAGGCTATGATACCAAATGATAGGAACAAAGTTCCTATCAGGTTTGATATTTGGGAATTAGGGTTTGTACGAACAGAATTAGGGATTGAGATTGGGATTTGGGAAAGAAGAAGAGAAGAATCAGTCTAGGCCTTTAAAGGGATTGATAACAAGAATTGAGAGGATAAGGAGATTAGGGTTTGGAAGGCTTTTTCTTAATATTCTTCTTATTCATTATTATGAAACCGCAAAGTACACTTATATAGGAAGAGATAGGAAACCCCTAATAATAAACCTAATTCTAATAAAATATTACTAATAATAAGGAAATCGGTTTCCATCACATCATTGTTGCTTATGCTAAACACGCTTGTCTGGATGAGACTCTTCTTTGTTCCATGGGATGTTGGAAATTGGCATTCATCTTGACGATGTCACATTTCTTGTTGTAATATCTGTGACTCGTTCTCACTACAACATCCCAATTGACGGCCAAGTATAATCGTCGATCGGGTGTAGCATAGGGCAAGCCAGCAATAAGAATTTATCGTACCACGGGGATCTAGGCTTACCCTACTTCAGGTTTAGGGTTCGTTATCTAGCCAACCTAGGATAGTGATTAGAAAACCTAAGCTAACTAACCTAGACTAACCACTAACCTGGCTATTTACAAGGTTGGGATCTCTCTTGGGTTAAATCCCTCTATTTCCGACCTTTGGATCGATGCTGAGTATCCTCCTAGCTCGATCGACTCAAATACACTACCGTTTAGAGATGGACTCCCTCGGGAATGACCTTGAACGGCGAATTGATGGATGGGTAGGTGCTCTATTCAACCTAGGGTTTCATATATTGCAAGGAGACCAATGGAATCAACTCCCTCGAGGACTACCAGGACAATATACAATATGAGTGATCCGAAGACGCCAAAAAGGGGCTCTAAGGGGATTATCTCCCTCCTAGGTCAAAAGCTCAAGACATGAAAATGAAATCAAAACTCATGTCATCCATTAAAACATCCATCAATTAGACAAAATCATCAATCAAACTAGTAAGTTGTCACATACATCAACAACAAACCAAAATCTAGACCTAGGGTTCTTAATCCCAAGAGTAGAGGGTGAGTTTCTAGAGAGAGAGAGAGAGGGAGAGATTACAAAGAAACCTCTAGATCTTCATCTTCTTCTTCTAGGCTTGATTCCTAGCTTCCAAGCTTGATCAATACCTTCAATTAAGCCCCAAGATCACTCCCTCTCTCACTAGAACTCCCCTTTGGTGTTTTGAGTTGAAACCATAGAGAAAGAAAGTGTTCCTTCTCCAAAACTAGCTCTCCTTTATCTCTCCCCGCTGTTGTCTTCATATTTGCCCGAAAGTGACCAGTTCACGGCCGCGTTGGCTAGTTCACGGTCGTGAACTCAGTGTCTTCTCCAAAATGCATCGCTTCACTCTCCTGGGTTCACGGTTTGTACTCCAAGTTCATGGTGTTAGAGACCGTGAACTTCCTGGTTGTCACTAACGTCTGAAACCTCGCTGGATGCCTCGCTGTTCATGGTTACGGGGCAATTGTCACGGTCTTTTTGGCACTTTTTGACCTCCAATCGACCCAAAATTCGTCCTCGACCTTCCCACACGTGCTAGGACATGAAATGTGTCAAAACAAGCACAACCTAGCGTGAAATATGTCGAGGGAAGATGAAATGAAAAGTTAAACTATCAAGATATGAGGGGTAAAATGTGTACAATTGGACCCGCATCAATCTGCTTGTCAGCATGCTGGCCAAGTAGACGATGGAATTCTACTTCTGTTATATGACTGAAGAATTTAAGATCTCTCCTAAGATGGAACATTATGCTTGCCTAATAGATATGTTTGGTCGTGCTAGTGAGTTGAATGAAGATATGGTATCATAAAGAGCATGCCTTTCCAACCTGATGCCGGTGTTTGGGGCACATTGCCCGGTGCCTCCCGCATCCATGGAAATGTTGAACTTGCTAAAGTAGCTTCAAGTTAGCTGATTGAGTTAGATCCAAACAATTCGGGATACTACATACTCCTTGCAGATTTTCATGCTAATGCCAGTCAATGAAAAAGCATGCGTAAGATATGAATGATGATGAAAGAAAGATGAGTTCAGAAAGTGCCTGGTTACAGCTGGGTTGATGTTGACAAAAGCACTCATATATTTGCTGCTGGTGATGGCCTATTGCCATGGAGGAGTGGAGGCAAAGTCTATTAACAAAGTCTTACCCCAATAGTGGTTTGGTGCGGATTCACGGAATAGGGTTCACAGACAGGAAACCCTCCCTCCATCTCGATGCACATAGAGCAGAAGAAGGATTTGCGGTTATCGACAGGAGGGGAGGATCTTGGTGGTGCAGAATTTTGTGGGGCATAGAATGGGGTGGGATTGCATACAATTCACTTTGTGGGAAAAAAACTGAAACTGTTACCACAACAACAGTTCGCACTATTACAAAAAGCAAGGATGTAGATGAGCATTGTAGACATTCCTCTTGAAAAGACCCTTCACAACTACGATGAGCCACGCTTCAGACGGGGTACTCTCCCTCTATCCTCATGCCTACCTACCAGATGATGGAGGTGCGGTTCATCGGCATTATTGGTGGAGTTGGATTCTGCTAGCTTCATTAGAACTTGGGAGTGGAGTGGGGTGAGCAATGCGTGGAATTGGATCTGACAAACCATTGACAATGGAACACCACGGATTCAGGGTTACCCTTTGTGGTTCGTCAATGGAGATTGGTTCCCAGTTCTGAGTGCTTAGTGGCCAAGGGGAGGTGTCACGCGTGGCGGGCGACATGGCGAGTGAAGGGGCGGGTCATGACCAAGTCAAGCACGTGTGACATTATGGAAGACCTAGTATCATAAGATGCTTCTAGGATTACCCATCTTAAAGATGGGCTTAAAGGTGCACATAAATAGCCACATTATGAGGTGGTATAATGGTGTACATTATGGGGGAAACTTAATAGGGTGTAGTAGTGGGGAGGGACCATTATGAGGGGCATTGATGCCTTGTATGAGGATTAGCCTATATAAGGAGCATCTCTCTCTCACTTGTAACACATCCATCATTTTTTTGAGCAATACAACTAGAGAGTTTCTCCCATTTTCTTGTGTCTTCATCTCTTGAGTTGAGTGAGTTTAAGAGCTAGTGAGAAGGTTGCCTAGCATCTCTAATGGAATTGAGAGCTAGGGCCCCACGATCAAGAGTAAGGACGTGACAAGTGGTATCAGGGCTTGGTTCTGAAGAGAAGAATCGGTGTCCTCACTCCGCAAGAAGGAAGAAGAGAAGAAAGAGCTAGAGCCTCACCAAAAATTTCAGGATCAGAAGGCATTACTGATGCTGAGAAGGAAGCCAAACATGGAAGAGATCCCAACAAGAGCTCGAGGCCAAAAGGCACGTCGAGCACTCGTGATCCTTTGACGGTCTTACAGAAGCGAGTCTCTAGAGTGGAGGTGAAGGTGGCCAAAGATGTCACCGACTCACCGTGATGGAAGATTTAGGAGCTAACTTCACCCAAATCCAAGGAGATGTTCAAGGTTTGGGGACTAGTGTGTCGAGTTTGGCAATGAAGGGCTTCGAGAATAGCTCATGGACCTCATCAAAGACATGATCTCCACCTCCATGAACAACTCCATTGAGGTAATGAAGGAGATGGTTCTTGCTGAGATGACCGTCTTGAAGGAGGAGGTTGCGGAGCTCAAAAGCGAGGTGATGCTTGTGAAGAGGGTCATGGCTAACAGACCTGCTGCGACGCAACCTACCTCAACTATGGAGATTTTAAGACCGAAGAGCTTTAAAGGGTTGAGGAAGGCAAGGGAGTTAGAGAATTTCCTATGGAGCTTGTAGCAATACTTCGAAGCTTCGGGTATTTGAGATGAGAATATCAAGGTAAAAACTGCACCTCATTATTTGAGTGATGATGCTATGTTGTGGTGGAGAAGGACCCAAGGCGGTATCAGTAAAGGGACGTGCATGATGGAGTCATGGAATGACTTCAAGAGGGAGATCAATAGGAAATTATACCTCGAGAATGTTGCGTTCGAAGCGCGATCATGACTAAGGAGGCTTGCTCACGAAGGATAGATTCGAGGGTTTAAGAAGGAGTTTTCCAAATTGTTGCTCGAGATCCCCGACTGCACCAACAAGGAGGCCATGTTCACCTTCCTTGACGGTCTCCAACCATGGGTGAAGTTGGAGCTACAATGGCGAGGCATGCAAAGTCTTGCCGAGGCGATGGCGATTGCCGAGTCTCTAGTCGAGTACCACAATCCAGAAGAACGTGCGAAGTTCTGAGGCAATGAAGGTGGGCACGACTATGATAGAGACACACAAAGGTGTGGTAGGCCGGAGCAAGGAGGTAATTATAAGGCTGAGAAACCCCTTACTTGATTTCTTTGTGATGATTCACATCGTGTAAGAGATTTCCCGAAGAAGCACAAGTTGTCCACCATGAAGGCCGCACTAGCAGAGTGCTCGAGCTCGAAAGAGGAAGAGGAGGCGAATCCAAGAGTGGATTCGTATGTCACAAAGATTTGGTGCATGAAGAGATTGAGCTCCATAAAGCGGACCGAAGAGCCTACTCACCCCAAGCAACATGGCCAATGGTTCGTAGAGGCGAAGCTCAACCAAGGGTGAAGTGCACAGGCTAGGCACGCATCACATACGAGAAGAAGAAAATAGGGTGGCTGAGGGATACCAACTCAAGAGCCACAAGAACTCACGGTGTAGAGCGCCAGGTTCCACTCAAGCTTGGAGGATTGACATGGGTGCGACACTTTGAGGCGGTGTCGTTGGATGACTATCAGGTCATCATCGACATAGATTTCATGGTGCGGAAGAAAGCTTTCCAATCCCCTATGCCAGTAGATTTTGCATCGGAGGCGGAGCAAGATCGGTTCACATGACAAGAGGGAAACCAGAGTCAAACAAGAGGTGTTTGGCAAGGCAAGGGCAGCGAAAAGTGTCAACGATGGTGGAGGTAGAGGCTCACTCAAAGACTCATTGGAGAAGGACAAGGAGAAGGATTGCACAAAATTGTGGAGCCATGAGAGACGAGGAGGAGCCATCTTCAGATTGCCAAGAGGAGCAAGGAAATGCCACCATGATTGAAAAGGTGGGTGATGACTAGATATTTGCACATGTTTCCCCCTTTGTTTCTTGATCGTTTAAGCTTGCATTATCGCTTCATTGGCCTATTTTACGCTAGGTTGTGTTCCTTTGTCATATTTCAGGTCCTAGCACACATAGAAGTCAAAATCGGGATTTTAAGTAAAATCGAAAAGGAGGGTAAAATCGGAATTGTAAAATCGAATCGTAAAATCTTAAGATTTTAAGGTCCATATAAAAATGAAGACGGAATAATATTAATAAGGAAAATCATGAATAACACAAGAACACATAACGATTACAATGATAATTTTTCAAGGTTAATATTCTGATTTATCAAGGATAATGTTGGGAAGTGGTGAATCGATTATGATTAATACGTTGATGTGAATTGATAATGGTTGATGGTGGTTAGTGTGCGAAAACTAGATGATGTAGGCTGAGGAGAAGGAAATTAGGCGTAATTTTGCAAATTCTGGGGGGGGGGGGGGGTAAAATTGATCCAAAGATTGGAATTGTAAAATCGTAAGGTTTTGAAGATTTTAAGGATTTAAATCGCGAATAGTGTAGGATTTTAAGTTCCATAGATTTTATAGTGAAATCAGAATCGAAACAGGTAAGTAAAGTCGTAAAACAGTAGGATTTTACAATTCAAATCAGGATTTGACTGCTTTGCTAGCACATAAAGTGAAGCATAGGCACATGTTTCAAGTCAATCGGAGATCAATTGGCGACTCGGGGGAAGAAATTTGGGGAAAAAATCCAAAACTACCACTATAAAAAAATTACAAAAATACCACCCATACTCAACAATTTTCAAAAATACCTCCCTTCCACACAAAACGCGCCTCGAAGGCGCGGTTCACAGTCAAACCGCGCGTTCCATAGGCGGTTTGAACCTTCCTGTCTGTCAAACCGCGTTGCCACGTGGCGGCTCATGCAACCGCGCGATGGGGAAGCGATCTGACGGCCAAACCGCGCGCCAGCTCAGCGATCCGCGTCGCTCAGTCAAACCGTTCCCCCGAGGCGCGGTTCGCGCGTTGGGGAACGTAAACCACGCGTTGGAGGCGCGGTTTTAGGTGGGGTAAAAAGACAAAACCGCCCCTCCAGCAAGCGGTTTCGTCCCTATATAAACCCCTTACCCCCTCCCATTTTCTCCACACCAAGCTTCATTCCCCCCTCTCTCTCTCTAACTCCTCACTCTACCTACCCCCCTCCTCACCCAAAAACCTTAGAATTAGTTGTTTTGTTGGTTGCGGCTAAGTCTGATCTGCCTTCAAAAAACTTTTTCTTCGGTTTTCACTAAAAACCGTCGAATCTCTGTCCGGATTCTGAAAAAACGGCCGATTTTATACAAGAAGAGGGTATTTACTATGATGATTAGCAAGCGATACGTACTTATTTGACCCAATTGTTGTTGTTGTTATAATGATTTATTTAATTTATATACTAATTGATTTATGTTGTTGTTATGCTATCGTAGGTTGGGCCGGATGTTGATATATACAATCAACGATATTATGTTGATCAAGGACCGATTGATCCGACTATTTTATACGATCAAGCCAATCATCGTTCAAGAGACGTTTGGAACGAGCACAAGGTACATATTATTTATCATCACTTGTAATTTGTATTTCGATTCTCTCAATCAGTCTCTAGAGGTTGTCTAGGTCTCTCCCTCAAACCAGATTTTGAGCGGCTTAATCACAAGCAACCTAGATGCAAACTTGAGTCAAGTGGAATGCTCATCTCTAACCTAGATAGTAGGGGCAAAGTGCCCAGGAAAACCAAGGTTGTTAAGCCTACCTAAAAAGGTGTGTTTTTCCTCTAATCTAGGTTAGGCAAGCACACAAGATTTGGAAAGCGCAACTAAGCACAATCACCCTGAAAACACCTCTAATACTCAAATTGATGCAAACCCAATACAAAATCATTCAATGTAAACAAGTAACTACAAAGTATTAGTTAGGGATCTACAACACCCAAGAGAAAAGAGTGAGTTTCTAGAGAAAGAAGAGATGGATTACAAATTTGAGCTCAAGATCTTCTTCTTCTAGGCTTGAATCCTTGTCTTCAAGATCCACCCAAGCCTCCAATGATGCTCCAAGATCACTCTAGCAATCTCTCTCTCTCTCTCTCTCTCTCTCTCTCTCTCTCTCTCTCAACTAGAACTCCCCTTTGGTGTTTTTGGGCAAACCCTAGAGAAGGAATTGAATTTCTCTCTAACCTAGCTTAGGAGGCATTGAATGCCCAAGGAAACCCATCTCGAAATGAGCCTCTTAGGTTAAGGAGGGTTCTCTCTAAACTAGTTTAGGAGGCTTTGAATGCCCAAGGAAACCAAACCTCTGGGGTAAAAGAGGTTTCCTCTCTAAACTAGCCTAGGAGGCATGAAATGCCCAAGAACACCCAATGAACCTCCTAACCTAAGGAGGTCTCCTCTCTTATCTAGGTTAGAATGATAATTAGATTGATAGGCTTCCACACAACACAATCATTTCTGAATAATACCTCCACTTTCACATTAAAACACAACCACACACAAATCATTCAATTCATACAAGCATTCACATAATTGTAGCTAGGGTTTACAAACACCCAAGTGAAAGAAGGGACTACTCCATTGTAGGAGAAGGAAAACACAAAAGAGGGAAAGGAAAACCACCATGAAGATGCAAGCCTTGCTCCTTGTGCTGAAGAAACCCCAAATCCTTGCTTGGAGATCAAACCCTAGATTTTCCTTTTCTTTGGTTCGTCACTTTCTCACTCTAAAATCTGAAGAAGGAGAAGTTTTCTCACTCTAGATCTCTCCCCTTTCTTCTTCCCTTCAGCTTTCCTTTTAAGTGGGAGATCGCGTTGAGTTCACGGCCGTAAACATCGAAACGCGTCCGTGAACTCAGTGTTATGACCAAAACGCACCATTTCATTTGCTCGGGTTCACGGTCAGTGGCCTCTATTCACGATCTTAGCGACCGTGAACTGTCTGGGCTTCAGTAACTTAAAAACCCCCTTTGTTTGCTCCTCGCTTCATGGGTTATGTCTCCAGTTCACGATTCTGTATGACTGTGAACTCCAACGTCTGGCCGTGAACTGTGCTGTCTCCACCTCTTTGCCCGGTCTTTGCTCCTTTTCTTCCAACTTTCGACTACAGGTTTGGTTTTACCTGTTAGGGTCTGAAACACACTAAGACACAAGCAACCTCGCGTAAAACCAACCTTTGTGGAGTTCAATTGCAACAAACGTCAAAGAGAATCGGGGATAAAAAGTGTACAATTAGGCCCGAATCAAATACCGAAACTTGCGGGGTGAAATCCTAGCTGACGTGGAGGCTTCCTTTTTTATAGCCTTTTAATACTTTTTAAGATAAGATAGAAGATAGATAGATATTATTTTATTATTTATTTATCTAAAATTAATAAAGAATATGCAATGTAATGAGGAGGAGACACCTTTAACAGGATGTCAGAGCTCACTGCAGCTCAAACATATTTAAGACGGATCCTCCAAACTCGGCATCAACAGAAGGCCAAACGTTTTTTCATCCAATTTTGTATAAGAGCACACAGTGGACACTTTCTTCCACATTAAATATGTTGTACAAGATCTAGAAACACAAACTCTGAGTCTTCAATCATATTTCCCTCTATCCTTTGAATTAAACACTTGCAAATGTTGTTACATAGGCAAGAAATAGATATAATTTCACTTATTGAACTGTTTGTTACCAGAAAATCAGTTGAATTTTCATCATGTTCAAAGCCATGGACAATCGATCAATATTTACCTTCATTCTAAATTCCTAATCCTGATGCATCTTTGACCAAAACAAATATGCACAAAAGAGCTACCACCTGGAGATGCACTGGAAGGTTAGGCTGAGGGACATAACCCTATCTTGAGCTCTTGAATAAGGAGATTCTCCAGCAATGAAATAAATCTCAGCAGACTCGGGGTGGCTTCCGTCACAAGCAACACACATATGAGTGATTTTGACATCATCAACCCAGCAGTAACCAGACACATCCTGAACTCCTCTTTCTTTCATCGTTTTTCTTGCCTTACGCACGCTTTTCCATGGACTATCATCAGCACGAACATTTCCAAGAGTATATAGTATATGGAATTATTCGAAATGTCGGATCTAACTCAAGCATGTAATTTTAAGCCACTATAGAAAGTTCAACATTACCCTGGACACGGGAGGCACAAAGCAATGTTCAACAGACACCATATACTTCATTCAATTTACCAACACGGCCGAGCATATCAACTAAGCAAGCATAATGTTCCAATTAGAACTTCACAGGCATACTCTAGAAAGGCACTTTCACTATTGAAAAGGGCAGTCTTAAATCATCACTTGTACCTCTCTTTTTTTGTCATATTGGTCTCCTTAGCTTCCAACCAGTCTTTAGTGAGCATCAATACTATTGCTGAATCCAGCTGATTTTTTTTGTGCCAAATCGTCTATTTTCCAGCATGCAGCATCTAAAGAAGGCGGATTGATAATGTTTTGCAACTTCAGCTCTACGACATTAATTACTTTAGTATCATCTGATGCATTATCGTAGGCTTGTACAATAACTACACTGTCATTTCCTTGTTTTTCCGAGGCTGGTCAAATTCCAAGAAATAAACAACTAGGTGTCTATATAGGAATAATAAATTGCAAAAGATAGTTCCATGCGAACACATTCAAAGTAGATGACCAAGAATCAAGACAAAGTTTATGGTTTATCTGAGATGCATAACGATCAATTTACGGTTAGAACCATGTAACGTTCTCTTATAAAACAACATGATCCATAATCCTTGAGCTAACAATTTGATTGAGCTGGTCAAAGTATTCAACAGAGTGGGACTTTGAAGCATCCTTGTGCAGGCAAGCCTCAAAACATCCAAGAATTATCATGATAATTGTTTCACTCAACCTGGGGCTCAAGCGACCATGCTAGCTGCTGGTCGCCTTCCAAATGATCTGCGTGTCCTCCACTTCGTCATCACATGGGTGCTTCTCGCTCGATCCCTTTCCAGCTTCAACATCCTCCATTCCTCAGATCTTTGGATCCTTAGTCATGCTCGTTTCAGTCAGCCTATCATCTATGCTTTGACTCGCTATGACACAACTCCTAACAATGGCCAAGTGTAACCAATGAAAGGGACTACAGCATAGTGGCTCAAGTAATAAATATCAAATCCATGGGTCTCTAGAGTAACTATTACTCAGCTTCAGTTCATTATCTAGCAAACCAGATTAGGATGGAAAAACTAAAACTACTCTAACAAACTACAGTTAAAGTTAATCTAATTACTAGTTGGGAACTCACTTAGGTATGATTCCCCCTAGTTACTATTACTCAGCTTCGGTTCAGTATCTAGCAAACCAGATTAAGATGGAACAACTAAAACTACTCTAACAAACTACAGTTAAAGTTAATCTAATTACAGGTTGGGAACTCACTTAGGTATGATTCCCCCTAGCCACTAGCCAGATTAATGATTGATGATCTCTAACTTGTTTCACTTTCATTCACAATGCGGAGAATCCATGACTAGAC